GGATACTCCCGCACCCTGGAGGTAGGAAGGGGTGTGCGTTTATATGTTCGGAACCTATATAGAGTCGAGCACTCTGCCTACCGGTACCTGCTGCTCCCATTATTGGTGTTCTGTTGTAGTTGTTAAGGCTTGTTTTAGGATCATCTTTAAGTTTCACAAATCTGGGCTTCTTCCAATATGGGTTCTTCAGTGTTGTAGAGAGTGTAGAGAAGGATTTGAAGCCTTTATTAAATTATATATAAGAGACTTACCATTTATGTGATTTTTCATTTCCCTCTGAACATCTGTCTTCAAGTTACTATTAACCCTCCAGAACGGTTTGTTTGGTGGAGCAGGAATGCAGATGGCGACATCTCAACCTGCAAATGCTGACAAAAACTCATTTGTAACTTTCTCACAGAACAGTGAGTTCCATCTCTGCCTTTTTGCACAGGCAAGGAGATCTTTGCATGGATTTTTGCCTGTGATGGAGGGATTCTGATGTTTTACCTACCCAGAAACCAGGTGGTGAAAGCAACCTAACTGTGTGCAGGGCTCTTCAGAACAGTGAGTGAGTGAGTTGGTGCTAGAGATTCTCTACTCTACTGTCTGAGAAAGGAAGAATCTTGGGGAAGTGGACGGTAATGGATATGGGAAAGCAAGTAAGCAACCGAGAGACCTCTCCAGCAGATCTTATCCTGTCGTTCAATTGCATCAAAATGAAACGTGAAACCTGACATGTAATCTAATCAGTGATCATCACTGTCATCATCAACGTCACATATCATGCGCCAATGCTAAGCTAGCTAGGTACATCTGAACCGTCCACGTCATCGATCTGAGATTCCTCCGGTCGATCCGTATGTCTTACTTTCGGGTCACCGGTGGACCCGCACCCGCCGATCTGGTGGAGATTGGACAGGGCGATATATTGGGTTGTGTACACCACCAGAACTTGAACATGGCACCCGTATTCAGTGATGCCCTCTCGGTATTCGACAGCCAAATAGTGGCCTTAAGAAAGGAAACTCGTGAGTTTTGTTCAATATAGATTCTTAAACGAGAAGACGATTAGCTTCAATGTTGCAATAGATCATATGGGAAACAATATTTTGATGATTAATATAATTCTGGGAAGCGTTATATTGCACTTCGAAACAAAAAAAAAAGTTTGAGACTAAATCAAGAATGTATATACTATATATGCACATATATTCATGTATCTAGACGCATTTCTATCCACTATATATAACATTTCTGTCACACACTTGCTGCCCTATATACATCCTCTCTTTCTATAATTCCCATTTTAAAAACGGCGGTTTGACAAATCAAATTATTAATATATATAACACTCATCAGTAGATTAAATTGGTATAATATTAAGTACTTTCTTTTGTGAAAATTATAATATTAAGTACTAGTTAAGGAAATATTATAAAAGTTAGCTAGATGATTAAATTACATTATACCACCTATCCCAAAAAATAGTATATTATAAAATAACGCTGACTCGGCGTCGACCACTCGCCGTAGGGGTGGGCAAACGGTTCAGTAAACCTGACCCGAATCGAAATTGAATTAAACCGAACCGAAACCGAATTAATGCTATTTGGTTCGGAATTCTGATGTAAAATATAGATAGTTCGGAAACCAGGGTTCTTTCAACCGAACCGAATTTCCGACCGAAAAACCGAAATACTATAATTTAAAGCTCCAAATAGTGGATTTTTGTGTTTGTAGTTGTTTTTAGACTTAAATATTTGAAATGTTTAATGACTTATGTGTTAAAAAGTTTGATTTTATTATTGATGATGCATATAATTGATATTTATTGTTTATATTATGGGTTAAAAATAATTTAAAAGTGAGAAAATATAAGTAGCTTCACAAATTCGGTTTTGTGTGAAAAACCGAACCGAATTATAATTCGGTTTAAACCGACCAACAGAATTATAATTTTGTTCGAATTCGATTTGAGATTTGAGAGAATTCGAGAACCTGATATTCATAATTTCAATTCGGTCGAAACCGAAACGACCGAATGCCCACCCCTAACTCGCCGCACTTCGCTGGAGCAAAATACAAATTGCCGAGCTCAACTCTAAAACACAGATCAGATCGTCGAGATTCCTTCCCCTTACCACCTCCGCCGTCCTCTCGCTGCTTCGAAAAGCCGCTTATTCCACGTCAGCTCTCCCCATCTCCCTCCCACGTGGCATCCACGTGTCCAGCTCGGTCGGCCCTTATCCGGGTTATTCTCCTCCGACGGTGCGAATCCGGTGCAGGTCAACTACTCGACCATGACTTCCCCCGACCGTTTCCCAATCGGCACGTGTCCCTATTGATGAATTAAAGAAATCTAGCTAATCTCCATTTGGAAGTCGTTAATCAAAATGGTTTATTTAGCAAATTGTAATCAACATTGCATCACTCTTTGCGTTGGCGATGGCATCATTATGGCTGCATTTTTCAGTCATCAGTAGGTATAAAAAGTAATTAAGAAGACAATTTAGTTCAGGTTTCTTGCCTAATGTCTCCACGATTTGCATGTTTATGTGGGGGGAAGTTTAGGATCAACATGAACGTGGGACACCCATAGAACAATTCTCCATGGTTTTCCTCTTCCAGTTAATTGATTAAATATTAGTACTGCTGCCCTGCTTGGATTAGAGGTACTAATTAAATTAAAACTACTAATTAATACAAACCTAGATGGCGATTGGCGAGGAGGTACAAAGGAATAAGCTTGGCATATGCCCTATTAGTAGTTAGTTTATGTTATCAAAGTATTATTACTAGAGGCTGGCTTGCTAGCTAAGAGTACTTACAAAATCTACCGGGATAGGCAAACCTGAAATATAATACTTGATATCGTAGTGGACTCCGGCATAAGATAATGTACAATTGATATACGTGATTAGAACTTTTTAGGTGATCAATGCACGAGTCAGATTGAGCTAGCAGATGTTCTGAACGAATGGTGATAGAATATGGAATAAACTTAACAAAGATGCTAAAACTTATATGATAGACAATGACTATCTATCTCTATCTTATAATACTAAATATCGTGGTGGGTTAGGTTATTGATATTGATAAGTTGTTGTATATGTAAGTAAAAGGGACCATATAGGAATGAAAAATATCAAACTCGAAGGGATAACAAAATCAGAGTAAACGATCCAGTTAAATTATCGTTACGCTTGTTTATAATATTATTGGAATAATTTGCATTGTATTTGCTATAACATAAATCGCGACTCGTTTGAATCGCCTTGATAAATAAAAGAAGAAAATTACAGCTTAATATTTATAACATAACATTATAAATTTATAATCAAGCACCCCCTTTTTAGTTAGGAAAACAACAAAGTATCTCTCTCATTGTCATACACAAATCCTAATTTTTTTCGTAAAAGTCGGACCCTAACACATTGTTTTCAAAATATATCTATTTTTAGGAAATTTTTGTTTCATCTTTCTTGAAATTTTGAAGAGAGACAAAGGCCAACCACTGAGCCTAATAAGCAATAAGTAATACATACGGAATTATCGTCTATTGTTCCAAATCTTCCATTTTTCTCTGGGAACGGCTACGGTGCTAATTGTACAATAGTTAGCACTGTCCTAACTAAGGGAAAAACTACTACTAGTTTAAATTAGTAGTGATTTAGCTTAGATGTTGTATTGATTTTATAATAATCCGTAGTGATTTCGTTATTTTTAGTAGCGTTTTTTGCTAGTTACCTAATCCCATCCTTTTTCTCTTTACTTGTTTTTGGCTTTGTGTAATTAGTTCATTACAGTTTATCTCCGTCACTATTGCAATCTAATCCCTAGGGCTGGGAAAATAGACCAGACCGTTAGAAAAACCGTGGTCCAAACCGTACCGCACAGTTTGGTCCGGACCGTAGACCGTGAAGTATGGTCTGGTCTGGTCCATGGTCTGTATTATTTTATGATTTGATCTCTTGGTCTGGTGTAGACCACGGTTCACCGGACCAAACCGTGGACCCAACTGACTTGTCAATACGTGTTAACAGCCCATTCGACCACTCTCCAAACTCCCACAACGACACCCATCTCTCAACCTTAATTTTGTGAATCTCTTCCCTCCTTCATTCACAACCACATATAACCAGAGAGTAGAGATAATAGTGTCTCCATATGACATTATGCTAATGTTTATGACGTTATGGTGCAAGCTGTGATGTTTTTACTTTGTATCTTTGTTATGTACTAAGATTTAGAGTATCAAAATTATTCATGCATGTTAGGATTAATGTTTTAAGACAAATAACAATTATTTTTCTTGGTTATTGGTTCAATTTTTTGTGTGGTTGACTAAACAAATTATTCATTTTTCGTTGAGTGTGGTCTATCTGGACCAGACCAGACCGAACCAGACCGCACAGGCGTGGTCTGGACCGGACCGTGTAGTTTGTAGTCTGGTCTGTAGTCTATACTTTAGCCTCTCGGTCTGAACCATAAACTGTATATATGGTCTGGTCTGGACCAGACCGCACCGTTTCCCAGCCCTGCTAATCCTGGCAGTTTAGCTAAACTAATCAAGGCGGAGGGCAGCCCGGTCTTTCCCGGTCAGCGCCAGACAGGCACAAATCTTATCCAAAACATGTGGCACCAGCAAGGAATATGCCACTTTGTGCCTTTTCTTTCGGGCAGACAGGAGAGAGAAAGAAAGAAACGGGTAGCGAGAGAAGGTTGGGACTTGGGCAATCCCCACGCTGATTTTGAGGGGGAATTTAATCATTTAATTTAAGCAGTTAATCACAACGTAATCGAGTTTTTACTAACACGATTTTACCCCAATCTTAGATCCAACGGCTAACAGGAAACAACCCCCCTGAAGGTCCACGGATCTCCCACCTGCCTCAACCGCAGAGTAACAAAACCCCGATACTTCCTTCTGTAAGTTAGAGATCCACGTCGGCGCCATTTTAGGCTCCTGTTACAACATTCCTAATCCTTTATAAATACAAAAATTTCCCCCGTTTGTTTTCTCTAAAAAGTAAAGAAAAGAAAAAAGGAGAGGATCCTCGCCAAATCTCCGTCGCCTCGTTCTCTTCCATATATAAACCCCACCGCCACCACAATCGCCACCAGTAACAGTAGCTTCCGATTCTCCCGCCGGCGGTTCGCTGCAAGCGGTAACGTTTCGGGAGACTCGGATTCTGTTTTTCTAAATTTTTTATATCTCGCTGAAATCCACCTCCGTCGCCGGCTGCTGCGCGCTTTTTTTCTATTAATGGTGGAGATGACGACGGCGGCGGCGACGACGACGGAGGAGAAAAGCGAAAGCTGCGGGAGCCGAGCAGTGGAGGGAGGGAGGTCACCGTCGCCGCCGCCGCAGGGGAGGCAGCAGAGGCAGAAGCTGGAGGTGTACAATGAGGTTCTCCGTCGGCTGAAGGAATCGGACAATGAAGAGGCCGATCGTGCCGGTTTTGACGACGAGCTCTGGTCTCACTTCAGCCGCCTTCCCGTTCGGTACGGAGAACGTTTCCCTCTCCTCTCCTTTCCTCCTTTCCTTGATTTTTTGGTGGTGGTGTTGTGTGGTTCTGTATATTCTGGCGGTGGATTAGGATGTGGAATCTGTCTGCTAGTGAGTGAATATACTAAGTTCTTGGATTGTAATCGTAGATAATGTGGAGGAAAAAAAACTGAATCGTCTGTATGTAGACTAGCTGTTCGACGTTATGCATTTCTCTGCCTGATCGAGTGGAGATAAAGTGGATTGAGTGAGTTCGAATTAGTACCTGGTGTATAATCTGAAATCTTCGTTCTCGTTACAGATATGCATTGGATGTAAATGTGGAGAGAGCTGAGGATGTTCTAATGCACAAGAGACTACTGCATTTGGCTCACGATCCGGCTAATCGGCCGGTGATCGAAGTCCGGCTAGTACAGGTGCGCGGTTCAGCTAAACGTCTGCTAGAACTCCATTGCTTGATTCTCATTCAATTTTGAAACTATTTGGTTCCTTGCATTGCCAGACTCAGAAGTGGCTGGCGTGCTTGCTTCTTTATTCATTTTTTGCGTTTTGTTTTTTAATTGTGCTGTCTTCTTCATCCAAATCTGTTCATTTTGGGGCTGTTGAGTCGTGGTTGGTTCACATGGATGCTGTGATGTTATGTTGTTAGTGCTTTTCAAGTTTTTTGTGGCAGCTACAGTTTGTCTGGGTGTAAGTGTGGTTGTCGTTTTCCATTCCCTTCCAATGCCAACGGAGCTTATCGCATAGAAACATGGTCGGTCTTGATTTTAGAAGGGGACTTGCAATATCTGGGACCACCCCTAGAACTGTGAAAACTTTTTTCCCGTGTGTGTTTCTTCTTTACTAATGTCCCAATCAACTTCTTTGCGGCCCGTGAAATAGTTCCCCTTGTTGGTAAAGTCGTCATGATTATGAACTGCATGCCAAACCAGCACAGTAGTTAGTTGACTAAATCCACATGGGGAGAGGCTCCAAGATATTTTTTTACCTGTCTATGTCCATCTCGATTTTTCATTTATCAGCTTTAAGGATTGAATTTGAAACTGGGTTGTGCTGAATTGTAAATGAACATACTTTGTGTCACTGCTGAGGTGTCTGGATTCTCTATCATATGTGCCAAAATGAAGCTATCATTGTTTATCGGCTGTTGACCGCTTCCTTGGATAGATCATCATAGCTGACATGTTGTAGAAGGATGTCATGCATATCTCAACTTCATAGCTAGCAGTTTCAGTTTTCCCTCTTCTGTATTTGCCAGCATCAACCCAGGATTTCTTGTTGGCGTAGGCCAAGTGGCAGTTCTGTTACTGTCTGTAGAACCTTTTCGAGTTTGTTATTTCAAGGAATCTGGTGAATGCTTACATGTTTGTGAACCAACTGAACTCCTGTGCAGGTTCCTCCTAGTCCTGATGGGAACTGGGCTGAGGATTCTAACTATCCAGGATCTAATAGGGAGCAATCTGCCCAAAGCAGTCGACAGAGGTATGTTGGTTACAATTTTTATTCTCGAGACTTGAACTATTGCTTAGCAGTTGTCATCAATAATGCTGATAAAATCAGCCGTTTTTCAATGCTCAGCATACATCCACCTCCTGCATTTGGTTCATCTCATAATCTTGAAGCACTTGCACTTGAAGGAAATGATTCTGAGGATCAGGATGATGATCATTCTGTACATGCCAATTCACAGTTCTCTCGGTAAATTTTCATAGACTTGATCTACCATTTGGAGTGGTAGATTCTCATTTTTCAGTGAGGTATGTGAAAGATTTGACAAACTTAAAGTGTCATGGAGTTGGGGAAGGGGGGTGTTAGTGTTATTGTGTTCATGAGAGCCGGAGCTAGGAAATTGTGACGACTGATGACTTTATCAGTGATCTTGTTGCTTTAGTTCTTTGACATTGTATACTTGAAAGAGAAGAATGCAGACTTGTGGATCTTCACTTATCTATTGCTTAGGCTGAAGTCTCATTCTTAATTGTAATTGGCATTCTGACAGGCCCATGCACGAAATAACGTTTTCAGCGGAGGACAAGCCAAAACTTTTGAGTCAGGTAAACCAGCATGCATCCTGAAGTGAAAGCTATAAACTTTTTAGATTGCATAGGAAGCTCTAAGTGATATTTTGTCTTCACTGAATTTGTGAAACTCGCAGTTGACTTCCTTGCTCTCTGATGTTGGATTGAACATTCAAGAAGCTCATGCGTTTTCAACAGTTGATGGTTACTCATTGGACGTCTTTGTTGTTGATGGTTGGCCTTATGAGGTATTAGTTTCTTCCATTTGCTCTTCCCGCTCAGTGAGGTTGTTACTGAGCTGGTTTAAAATGTCACACAATGCTACTGACTGACAGACATGCTTTTCCACCTTTTTCAGGAAACGGAGCAGCTTAGAACCGCTTTGTTAAAGGAAGCTTACGACATTGAGGTAATTCATCAACTCATTTAATTTGGTTATGGATCAAGATATCCATATTTTTTGTTGTCGTAAATGAAATACTGAATAGTGCAGTTCAACTGCTATTAATATATTTATTATCTCAATGTTCCGTCTGAGAAAATGCCAAATCACGCATTTAAACCTGCCCCATCAGTATTTCTAATTTGGCTTGGTACCATTGGATGCTTAGCATTAATCAACTTCAAATTGATTGCAGAATCGGCCTTGGTCGAACAATCACTCACTACATTCTGCAAAGAAACTTGAGCAGATTAATGTCAAATACGGTCCAGCTGATTGCGTGACCATACCCAACGATGGGACTGATGTCTGGGAAATTGATCTTAAACAGCTGAAGTTTGACAACATGGTGGCATCTGGAGCATATGGAGACCTGTGAGTTCCGTACTTTTTGAAATGTACTAGCTGATGCTTTTTTACAGTGAAATCATCTTACAGTATATTTGGTATAGGTACAAAGGTACTTACTGTAGTCAAGAAGTAGCTATCAAAGTACTGAAGGCTGAGCGAGTAAATACGGATATGCAGAAAGAGTTTGCCCAGGAAGTCTACATAATGAGGTCAGCAATAGTGTCTTCTTCTCCTGGTACCCTTCAAACTCTAGCCATCAGGAGACTTTATTGTGGAAGGACTATGGTTGACATATAAAGTGCTTTGGGCTTGTAGGAAAGTTCGGCATAAGAATGTTGTACAATTCATAGGTGCATGCACCAAACCACCAAGTTTGTGTATAGTAACAGGTAAGTCCCGAGACTCTCCTTTGTAAGTTATGATAATTCATCGTCATCTTATGAATTGTGTCTTTCTTTGTTCTATTTCCTGCTCTTTTTGCCTATAGAATTCATGTCTGGCGGCAGCGTGTACGATTACCTACATAAACACAAGGGAGTTTTCAAGCTTCCCTCCTTACTTAAAGTAGCAATAGATATTTCCAAAGGAATGAACTACTTGCACCAAAACAACATAATTCACCGAGATTTGAAGGCTGCAAATCTTCTCATGGATGAAAATGAGGTAAAAGTTTTTCCATCTCTCTATTGCCATTGAACACTTCAAATAATTTCCGCTTTACTTGAACCGTGCTTTAATCTGAATGACCCTACTCTTGTCACATAATCTCAAAGCAATCCGATCCCATAGCACTCCCTTTCATCATCCTATGCTGTATGGTCAGATTTGCTGTTGAGGAAAGTTGATATGCTTGTTAGCTGTTAGTCTAATTAGAGTGGATCCGTTAATAATACATCTAATTCACAATAAAAGATTCTTAAAGAGGTTGGAGCCAAACACCAGTCAAGTTATTGTTGTTGCAAATAGGCATCATTCATAGGGTTTGGATTAGCTGTTGTTGTTCACCGTCATTAGGTTTGTACTGGTGGTTACCGTTCACAGCCATAGAGATGTTGCTAGGCCCGCGTGATAGTAAACCCTTTTGATTCTTTCATATTCAGGTGGTAAAGGTTGCAGATTTCGGAGTCGCCAGAGTGAAAACTCAATCTGGTGTCATGACAGCTGAAACCGGGACCTACAGATGGATGGCTCCTGAGGTCTAATATCACACTCGCTGTTGCGCATTTGATTGTTCGTCCATACAGCCTTCCTTACGCCAGTTTGTTTTACAATGAAGGTCATTGAGCACAAGCCGTATGACCACAAGGCCGACGTCTTCAGTTTCGCCATCGTACTGTGGGAGCTTCTAACCGGAAAGGTAAAACCCCAACTCCCCACCGTCTCCTTCGCGTTTTGGGTTTTTCTCATGATCACCTTCCAACGTTGCCACCAACCCGGCTTTCCTTTTTTTTTCTGGTATCCCAGCTTCCGTACGAGTACTTGACACCCCTTCAGGCAGCAGTTGGCGTGGTCCAGAAGGTACCGAATCTTGTTTCCCAATCCTACAAACGTGTACTTCGAACTTGAACTCAGAAATTCAGGAATGCATATCGTTTCTTGTTTTTCCCCCCAGGGCTTACGGCCTACAATCCCCAAGCACAGTAACCCGAAGCTCGCGGAGCTCCTGGAGAGATGCTGGCAGCAGGATCCAGCGCGAAGACCCGACTTCTCCGAAATCATAGAGAACCTGCAACAGATAGCCAAGGAGGTAGTTAGAATCCATAATGTCCTTTCGCCTCGTTTCTACGTAAAGATAGTGCATGCAAATCCAGGATTGTATATAATAATAATAGTAATACCAAGTTGCTCGTGTTCAAAACAACAGGTTGGAGATGACTTGGGCGACGGGCGGAAGGAGAAGTCTCACGGAGGGTTCCTCTCCGTCCTCAGAAGAAGCCACCATTGATGGAACGGAAGAGATAAAAAAAAGGCCCAGGAGAGGAATTAAGCGTGGGATTTTCCATGTAGCCAAAATGTTGTGTAGGTTAACTTATTTAACCGTTCATCTTCTCGGGGTTGTCAAATTACTGTACAGTAATATATTCATTTTCTTTTTTGGCTTCCATCATTTAGTTGGCGTCGTTCGTTGATTCTCCTATTTATTTGCATTTTCCCTTGTCGAATTGCATTCGCCAGCACGGCGGTGTCTTTTTCATTTTTCTTCCCGAAAACGTAGGCCGGAAAAAAGCCTAATCAAGAGAGTGCACCATTAACCCGCATGGGTTTGCTCTTATTTTGGCCAAAATAACTCATGGAAATAACTTATCAAAACCATTCCCATAACTTATCAAAACCATTCCTAGAATATCTTGATGACTATTTATTAGTTGATGATGGTGAGTTGTCAGACGTGGCGTTGAGTTGGAAGGAATATTTTGATGTGACAGTAAAAAATGCCATGTTAGTCGGTCAACCCTTTATTATCTTTTCCGCATTTTTTTTATTAGCCAAACCCATTGAATTACTAATAATTAGCCAAATGTTAACTTTCAGTTAGCAATTTTGTTAGTAATATTGACTTAAAAACATGATATTAATTTGGAAGAGACACATGGAGGTCAACATTCCAAAATTTTAGTATTTTAACTAAGAAAAGAGTTACAATGATAACGTAAAAATGACAAATATTTTTATGCATTACAAAAGATTTGGTCAATTATTAGTAATTCAATAGGTTTGGCTGATAGACCTTTATAAAAAACAAATTAATTAGTGTTTACCCAAATTCATTGATGAGGTGGACGCTGAGGTGGAGCACAATTAAGAAATAATTAAAGATAACATAATAATGGCTATTATTTTGACGTGTTACCACGTTTGACTAATTCTTAGTATTTCGATAGATCTAATTAATAAACAAAATTCAAAATTTTTTTACTAATAAACATTCATTACTTTTTTTTTAAAATTAAGTGATGAAAGAAGTAAAAATATCCCTCCAACTCCAACCCACCGCCTTACCATAGCTCAGCCCAGTCAGGGAGAATTTTGTGCAAGTCCAACAGCAAAGTTGGGCCTGGGCCTGAATTAATGGTGACAAAATAAAAACATTCTACATTCCCTTCTGCTCACGAGTCACGACTCACGAGCTGCTGGCCGGGGATGACTAGAAACTAGAAAGTAGAAACTAAAAAAGTGTTTCGAATTTGGGAGGGAACGAGGACGGGCGAAGTGACTCGCCGGCGAGTGAGTGAATCATTCCACACTGACACTATAGCAGAGCTATGGCGACGAGACTCTCGAGCTTGGTTCACGAACTGCGTGAACGAATAGCAACTTCGTCGTCGACGCCGCCTACTAACGGAGACGATGGCGCTTTAGAGACCAGATTTCGCGCCGTCCTCCCTAACCTCCTCGACTACGTCGTTCCTTCTTCCTCCGGTACGAGAAAAAAAAGGGAGAAGCAGAAGAACAGCCCTCACTCTTCGCGATTTCTTTAGAATTGTTGAATCGATGATCCGGTGTTGACCGATGCTTCTTCTTCTTCTTCTACCGTTATTGACATTTTTCCTTTCCCACGCCATTATTGTGTTTTCCTATTCTATTCGAGGGTTGGAAATTGGAGCGTGCTTGATTAATTCGCGGAGTGAGGGATTTTTGGGGGGTTTTACTTTGTGAATGAGAGTTGCTTCCGTTGTTTCTATTTTGCAGCGAGCGAGCGAGAGGTGATTGCCGTCTTGAAGTTGATTACTCATGTCGCGAGGAACTTCCCAGGAGTGTTTTACCAAGGGAAGGCCACTGCTGTACTTCCTGTGATCGGCAGGATATTGCCCTTCTTCGCCGAACCTGCTTTCTGGTAAGTGACTAATGGGAGTGTTAAGTGTGTAGTTATCTGGGGTTTCCTGTCAAATTGGCGTATACTGTAAGGCTAAGAATAAGAAAACTAGGTTTAACGTATAAGTTGGTGAATATGGAAGGGTGATTTCGACCAAGGAAGTTGTATCCAATTCATCAATTCACCAATTCATCTATGAGAGTGCACAGGATGCTGTAGCTGGCTATGCAAGCCAGAAACTGTGTATGCTTTACCATTGAATGCCTGTCCTTCAACATTTGCTTCACTTTAGCAGACTGCAAGATAAGTCTGAAAGTGAATATGCACTGTCAATTGAATGTGTTAGAGTGCCCTTTTAGTTATTTAACCATTTGATTGATGCTGTAATTGGTTAAATGTATCCCATGATTTCAGACTTCCCACTAGATGTCTAGTTTCTTTTCACCGCATACACACTTAGAAAGCTGCTAAAAGCTGCCCTGATGGGGATGATTTGTTGCATTTTCAGCTCACGGCATGGAGTCATTTTCGACACTATTGGATCTTTATTATCCATGCTCCGCAGTGGTGAAAGAGATGCATACTGCCAGTTTTTCTTGGATACTGTTTCAGCGATTGAAGGTGAGACAACAGTTATGCAAACAATTCATTTTGAGTGTAGATATGTTTTTATCAGTTAAGTAATATATATGCTGGCATACTTCAGAAGGCTATACTCTAAATTTTATTGAGGGGAACGTTGCACCTCAAGCACTACTTGGGTTTTCCCCACTTGCTTCCTTGTGTTTCTTTAATATGCAAAATTTGATCTAAGTTACTTGGATGCAGATCTTACCTATGTGGCAAGCATTGCTACCGAAAAGCCAGGCATTTCGAATGATGCCCGTGTAAACATGAAGTGTTTTTCCCAGTCCTTTAGTAGGATATCCACTCGATCTGATTATCTGAGTGACCTCCCACCAACGATTAAACCAATTGATGGTCCTGGGATATTGATCAATATAATGGGGAAAACCAGGTGGCAGCCCTTTGCAGCTTGGATGATTAGGCTTCTAAGTAAATGCCTAACAGAAGGAACTCTGTACGTGGAGGGTCTCATCAGCCTGTCAGATGTCTCGGCTGCCTGTTCACTGTTGTGTTATGGCAGTGCTGACTTGCATATGGTGGGTGTGATCATGTTCTTGGAACTTGTGATTGTTTCTTATTCCATTCAGTCATTAGTAGGATTTACAAGGTCATTTAATGCAACATGCGTTGAATATGTTCATATAATCTGTGACCATTCTCTGACAGTTTAAATTTTGTGGAAGGCATGTTTCGACTTTGCTGGCATAGTGTCATCAGTGATAGATTGTGAGATTGTTCCTTTTGAAAACCTGATTATGTCAATAACAGCAATTCTGAGCGAGGACACAGCTTTACTTCCTTTATTCAGGTATACTTTTCTTATTGAAATTGTCATCTGGCTACATTCTTGGTTCGTTGTTTACTTCACAGTTGTGGACATCTAGAGAACACCTAAAGTTGTTTCTGAGCTTTGTGAAGAACTTCTTTGGAGGTTGTATAGCCAATCACCTTGATCATAGAATTGGTTTACATTGCAGAAATAAATCTTATGACTCATCCATTGGAGGTTGTTTGAGCATCTTGCATGGTAGCTGCCCCGAATATGTCATAAAGTCCACAGCTGCAGATGTAATTAGTGTTTTCCAGAGGGCAATGTGGAGAACGAAAAGCCAGGAATTGAAGGTTAGATAACTCTCTTGGTTAGGAAATAGTGGCTGAGCCTTTTAATCTCTCTCTTTCTTTGTGCTTCTCTTGCCAAATTGAATCTCAAGAGTTGCAGACGGTGAGAAGAACCTCCTCTTATATTGCATCATATAAGAAGGGGAGGGTAAGTCAGAAGTGTTGGAAAATGTTGTAATTCCTTCCTACCATGCTTTACCTACCCAAGAAAATTTCCAAGTATTTAGTACATTGTAAACTGAAGTGTAGTCAGCACCTGGACTTGTGTATGGGCAGATACAGAAAGGCTTCTTGGATTGCTCTATACAATTAGTTATTTTTCAAACTAGAAGCATCCACTTAAGCCCATATCGCGAACACCCCAAACAGGTAGGCCTTTGGGTAACAGTGGATGGGCAATATCCAACCACTACGGGTTTGAATGAACATTTTCCATATTGGATTTAGATCATATAATTCTGCTAGCTTATTGTATTGCAACTAATACCTTTAAAGAAGCTCTAGTACTCTATGCATGTTTGTTATGTTTCTCTGCCTTCTCCTCCATCCTCCAACTTGACATATTTGATTATTTTCTTATAGGTGGCTTTATGCAGTGCGTACCAGAGGATTGTCAGAACTTGTCCACCTTACATTTGGAAGCCTGAATCTCTGCTAGATATGCTTTTCATTCCAGAACCGTGTCGTGCCTTGATTGATTGCATTCAGGTAGCACTTACTATACTTGGTTCAGATCGAGTTGGAGGGAGCTTAGAAAACAATTGCAGTGTAAGTTTGAGTAGTGGTGGTGATAAATCAGTTGAGAATCCAAGAGTTGGAGAAAAAAGACAAAGCCAGGACATTGACATTCTCCTCAGCAAAAGGCGAAAGGTAGATGAAGATACCGTGACTCCTGATGCTAGTCAACTGGCAAAGTGCAAGTGGAGTCATATAGTTGGTTTTGAGACAGAAGATGAGTATGCTGGTTCGATGCATACCTCACTCGTTTCATTTATTGAACAACTGAAATGCTCTTCTACTCTGACGGATTCTGTTAGACCAGAAATGGCATTAACAGCTCTTAGCATGCTTTGCATTGCTTGCTCTATAGAACCAGTTACTAACCTGTCGGTATGCATCTTTGAGGTGATGCATTCATGGCTTCCGTGGATCTGCAAGCAGGTGCTTGATTTACGTAATTCTTGTTTTCTCACCTGTGAGAATATTTTTCTGTCGTTCCTCAAATAATCATTCCATCATGCAGGTGGAGCAAGCAAATCCAGTCAGCCTCGATATTCTCATTTACCTTGAAGGAATACACGGCATACTACTTATCCAGAGTACGAATCAATGCCAGTTTCACTGATAGTAAAAGGGAAATTTTACTGAATTTTAGATTCTTCTGATTGACATTAAATAGTCTTGACATGTTGAGTCCTTTACTTTCCAACATTTTATTCACTCATAAGTTAAGCATCATTGTCGTTGTGAGCCCTGGATTGCATATAAGCATAAAATAAATGCAGTAACCAGTAATGGATTCCATCTGCAAGTCAGTTATTTTGAATAAGAATTTATAAATACTTTTTAATTATCGGAGGAAAGCATGTCTTATTAAAAATTGTGCCTAGCGATGTGTTCATCTAAGGTCAGACAGGAGAAGTATTTTGTTGATTAGTGATGGCTTTATGTTTGAAACCAGGGTGAGTTAGATGCTTTCCTTTGCCATTGCCAGTGGGTTAGGGGTTGGGAAAGTAATAATTTATCAGTGACGAAATTATCTTTGATGTTTACAGGAGCCTTTTCTGAATCAGGGGACAGGCTTCCCAAGTTTAGGAATGAATATGCAGATCTTATGTTGAAAGTGTTAAAGCTTCCCTGGACACACGCCCACATGGTTAGTGGGCCACACCCTCAATGGAAAACAAAACAAATCTCTATTCAAGTTGCATCGAAACTTGGACCTAGTTTAAGAAGTGAAGGTTGTTTGGAAGTCTTGGATCTGGGCCTTCAAGATGAAGCTGCTGAGGTTAGGAGTGAAGCTACCATTGGATTTGTGGTAATTGTGTTGTTATGTGGTCTTGATGTACTGCCAGAAATCTTCGAAAGGCTTGAGTAAGTGAACTACAGAAATGCTGTTGTGATTCAATAGCTCTTATATTTTTCGTTCCTGAAATCTGATCTTTAGGTCCAAGTCTCTCGTCAATCATTTTTCTCTTGTGCAAGTGCTTAAATTGGAATAAGGTGGGGGAAAAATGATGTTTTTCTATATGTGTGAACTTAGTGATATACATTATGGTAAGATGCATTTCAAAGGGTTATATATATTATGCATGCTCTGATTAATGGATATGAGTGTTTATTGTGCTCTTTTGTCCTTGGACTTGTACATTATGCGATGTTATCAAAATATGGTACTGTTTACTAGAGATTTATTTGTTGCTCTTTTTTCGAGAATCTGCTACTTTATTTGAGTGGAAAAGTCGAGAGCAAGTTGCTTTGTCGAAGTATGACTGATGTGCCATTACAAATAGTTGGTTTCCTATTTATGACATGTCTTGGCATGTTGGTGGAAGGGATCGATTGCTATTCTTATAGGATTCCACTAGTTTATTTGACAGCATTTCATCATGACCATGTTCATTATACCCAACAACCCCTTAGTGGTTATCTGGTAGCCAATTCGACCTGCTCAGCAGGTCCCATTTATTGGCCTGTGATTCAGTTTCCTCCTTCTGAACATGTAGGTTCTTTGGAAGAGAAGAACATGATTCTGTTAAGAGAGTCATTCCCTTTTGTCTTGGGTATTTGTCATGCTTATATGGCTGTGGCAGCGGAAGTTGTGATGATCAGGGAAGAGACAGTTGTAAGTATTATTTAGATACCTACGACGACAAGAAGAATCAAACACTAGATTGTCTGCTGCAAGGATTCTGGTGTCCTAAGTGTGACTGTAGTATTCTACCCAAGTACAGGTCATTCTTGATGGGATCACATCGACTAGATCTACTAAACTATGCGGCCTTAAATTGTGATTTCAAAGTTCTCACATCAGTGTTCTTTAAGCTTCTTTATGACGGATCTTCAGTGGAGATCCAAGTTGCATGTGTGAAAAATATTAGACGAATACTTGTGCATTTGAAGGAAGATGATCTAGAAAAAACAAGTTTTGATTGGATCAAATGCTTGGAATTCTGTCTGAATAGCAAAATTAGAGCAGTGAGGGAAGCATTCTGCTGTCAGATTAGTGTTTTCCGTTTCTTATTTGTTCGGGAGAGTTCATTGAACAATAGTAGAGAGGGACATTTCATGGATGTTATGAAGGGTTCATTGGCAGCTGCTGAAGATCCTGAAGCATTAGAGACTCTTTTGGAATCAGTAATGCACATCATGGTCTCTGTTGATATTGATAGCCAAATATTTTTGTTTTCTCTTATGCTGTTGGTTGATCAGCTTGATAATTCACACATGATTGTCAGAATGACTGCATCAAGGTTGATACATAAATCTTGCTTTTCCCATCTTAAAGCTGGGCCTGAACAACTCTTATTAAAATTTGTTCACACCCGTAATCAGCTGTTTGAGTATCTAAGTACGAACCTTGTGAGTCGTCCAAAGATGGTTAGAGAGTTTGCTGAAATCGTGCTTGGTGTTGAAATGAAAGAGCTAATTGAGAAAATGATTCCCATAGTGCTACCAAAGCTTGTGGTGTCTTGGCAGGAAAATGAACAAGCAGTTGATACTCTATTCGAGTTAGCCAAGTGGCTGAACACCGAGATGGTTCCTCTCATAGTTAATTGGCTGCCAAAAGTTCTTGCGTCTGCTCTTCATCAAACAGATGGGCAAGAGTTACGGTCTACCTTGCAGTTTTATCATAACCAAACTGGTTCTGACAGCCAAGAAATATTTGCAGCTGCATTGCCTGCCCTTCTTGATGAACTTGTATGCTTTCTAGATGGTTCTGATCCACTTGATATTCAGAGAAGGTATAAAGAGTCTTCTCCTTGTTTTTCTTTTGCTATAGTATGCGGGTAAGGTGAAATGACAAAAACATGGAATAAGTTTTGAGTACCTTCCTCAGAGTGACTATTCCAACATGTTATTTATTTAGTTTACTGATGCCTTTTATCTGTAACTGTTATGCTATATTCTTTTCGATTTTGTACACAGGTTGTCAAGGGTACCTGAGATGATAAAAGAAATCGCCAAAGTTCTGACAGGTTCCGAGGATCTTTCTTGCTTTCTGAGGAATCATTTTGTTGGCCTCCTTAACAGCATTGATAGGAAAATGCTTCATGCAAAGGACGTTTCACTGCAGATACAGGCGCTGCAGCGCATTAAAATGTTGATTGAAATGATGGGGTCTCATCTTAGTACTTATGTTCCAAAACTGATGGTTCTTCTCATGCATGCTATTGACAAAGAATCACTGCAAAGTGAAGGTCTCTCTGTACTGCATTATTTTATTGAGCAGCTGGCTAGCAAATCACCATCCAGCATCAAGCATGTCATATCTCAAGTATTTGCTGCTCTTATTCCCTTTGTGGAGAGGTACAAAGAAAGCTCTTCTATGCAGTTGAATACGGTAGTAAATATCTTGGAAGAACTTGTACTGAAAAACAGAATCGTTTTGAAGCATCATCTTCGCGAATTCCCTTTATTACCCAGCATTCCTTTGCTAAAGGACGTGAACACAGCTATCCAAGAGGCACGCGGTTCGTTGACTTTGAAGGATCAATTACGAATTGTTTCTGAAGGTTTGGATCATGAGAACTTGAATGTGAGGTACATGGCGGTGTGTGAATTGAGCAAGTTTCTTAATATAAGAAGGGAAGATATTACAGCTTTGATCACTGGTGAGGTTACCGCTGACATGGATGTTTTAAGCTCTTTGATTACCTCCCTGTTAAGAGGATGTGCTGAAGAGTCGAGGACTGTTGTGGGGCAACGATTGAAATTGGTCTGTGCTGATTGTCTCGGAGCACTTGGCGCAGTCGACCCTGCTAAAGTGAAAAGTTCTCCAAGCATACGTTTTACAATTGAATGTTCAGATGATGACCTTATTTTTGAGTTGATCCACAAGCATTTAGCAAGAGCTTTTAGAGCTGCACCTGATACAGTTGTTCAGGATTCAGCTGCATTAGCAATACAAGAGCTGCTCAAGATTGCTGGTTGTGAGGCATCATTAGATGAAAATGTTGGTGCTTCTCATCGCACACCAATTGTTAGGTCTGCTGATGGTAGCAGTATCATGAATAGTAGGGGTCAGATATTGTGGGACAGGTTCTCTAATTATGTTAAAGAGATAATAGCCCCTTGTCTGACCTCTAGGTTTCAGCTTCCTAATGTTGCAGATTCATCTTCAGCTGGCCCAATTTACCGGCCATCAATGTCATTTAGAAGATGGATATTCTTTTGGATAAAGAAGCTGACTGCACATGCAAATGGTTCACGTGCAAGTATATTTAATGCATGCCGAGGCATAGTTCGGCATGATATGCAAATAGCCAGCTACCTGCTACCATACCTTGTCCTTAATGCTGTTTGTCATGGTACTGCAGAAGCCCGCCATAGCATTACTGAAGAGGTGCTATCCGTTCTTAGTGCTGCCTTATCAGAAAATAGTGGGGCTGCTATTCATGTTGGTGGTGGACAAACCGAAGTTTGTATTCAAGCTGTTTTCACTCTCCTTGATAACCTTGGCCAATGGGTGGATGATGTTGAGCAAGAAATAGCATTGTCCCAGTCTACCCAGTCAACAACTTCTAGAAAGCAAGGTTCCAAGTCAAAAGACCATAATACCTCTTTGCCTGATCAGGATCAACTCCTTGTCCAATGTAAACATGTCTCCGAGCTACTCGATGCTGTTCCCAAGGTTACCCTTGCAAGGGCATCCTTCAGGTGTCAAGCATATGCTAGATCTTTGATGTACTTTGAGTCTCATGTGCGTGAAAAATCAGGTGCATTTAACCCTGCTGCTGAGACAAGTGGCACTTTTGAGGATGAAGATATTTCATACCTGATGGAAATATATAGCTGTCTTGATGAACCTGATGGTTTATCAGGCTTGGCCTCTTTGCGGAAATCTATGAGCTTGCAGGACCAACTTTTACTAAACAAGAAGGCAGGAAACTGGGCTGAGGTCTTGACTTCTTGTGAGCAAGCTTTACAGATGGAGGCCCTCTCGATTCAGAGGCATTCAGATGTTCTAAACTGTTTGCTGAACATGTGCCACCTACAGGCAATGGTGACTCATGTTGACGGTTTGATTTCTAGGTTCCCTCAATATAAGAAAACGTGGTGCATGCAAGGGGTGCAAGCAGCATGGAGACTAGGCAGGTGGGACTTGATGGATGAATACCTCAATGGTGCTGCTGAAGAAGGCTTGCTTTGTAGTGGCGCCGAGAGTAATGCTTCATTTGACATTGATGTTGCTAAAATTCTGCAGGCTATGATGAAGAAGAATAGATTGGCAGTTGCTGAGAGGATTGGAATGTCGAAACAGGCTCTGATTGCTCCTCTTGCTGCTGCAGGCATGGATTCCTACATGAGGGCTTACCCCTTAATTGTGAAACTTCACTTTCTGCAGGAACTAGAGAACTTCCATTCTCTTCTTATCAATGACTCTTTCTTGGAGAAAAGGTTCCATCTAAGTGATATGGAATTCACAAAATTAGTGGAGAACTTGGAAAATAGGCTTAGCATAACACAATCATCACTATGGACAAGAGAGCCGCTCCTGGCTTTCCGAAGACTTGTATTCACATCCAGTGGCCTTGGTGCACAAGTCGGGAACTGCTGGCTCCAATATGCAAAGCTCTGTCGTTCCTCGGGTCATTATGAAACAGCTAACAGATCAATTCTTGAAGCTCAATCTTCAGGAGCACTTAATGCTCACATGGAAAAGGCAAAGCTTTTGTGGAGTACTAGGCGATCAGATGGCGCCATTGCGGAGTTGCAGCAATCTCTTCTTCACATGCCAGTGAAGATTGTAGGCACTGCTGCTAGGTCATCTATTACCAACCTCTCATTGGTACCTCTAAACCCTCTACCTTCGGACTGTGACAATCAAGCTTCGAATGATAATAATCAGGATGTCGCAAAGACTCTCCTCTTGTATACCCGATGGATACATAATACTGGCCAGAAGCAGAAAGAAGACGTCATAGCTCTTTACTCCAGAGTCAGGGAATTGCAACCTTTGTGGGAAAAAGGGTTCTTCTATTTAGCAAAATACTTAGACGAGCTGCTTGTTGATGCGAGGAAAAGACAGGAAGACAATTCAGACATAGGTTCCAGGGCTTCTGTTTCAAATAATGAGAAGCGCTGGTGGTTTTACTTGTCTGATGTATTACTGTATTATGCTAAGGGTTTGCATAAGGGCCACAGGAATCTCTTTCAAGCACTACCGAGATTGCTCACCTTGTGGTTTGAATTTGGAAGCATTTATCAAAGATCGCGTCCTTCTAATGGGGAATTGGCCAAGGTTCATACCAGGGTAATACAACTTCTCTTTTTTCATACCAATATACCTCTTTTTCCCTTTTATGTCATTTAAACGAGATGTTACATTTCCCCTCCTTTTCACTTTTGTAGGTGTTGTCAATTATCAGAGGTTGTTTAAATGATTTGCCCACATATCAATGGTTGACTGTACTGCCTCAATTGGTTTCAAGGATCTGCCACCAAAATGAAGATGTTGTTCAACTAGTCAAAAAGATTATCACTTCTGTTCTCAGGGAATATCCCCAACAGGCATTATGGATCACAGCAGCTGTTTCAAAGTCTAAAGTCTCTTCAAGGAGGGAAGCAGCTGCAGCAATCATACAAGAGGCTAAAAAAGGGTTCGGTCAAGGGAACTCCGGGAGTAATTTGTTTGCCCAGTTTGCTGGCTTGATTGATCACCTGATCAAACTGTGCTTCCACCCAGGCCAGCAAAAATCAAAGACGATTAACATTGCAACTGAATTCAGTTCTTTGAAAAGAATGATGCCACTGGAAATCATCATGCCAATGCAGCAGTCTCTTTCTTTCACCTTGCCAACCTGTAACATGAATGAGTCACTTAAATCTGATATATTTGCAACTTCAGAATTTCCAATGATTTCTGGAATTGCTGATGAGGCCGAGATCCTTTCATCTCTTCAGAAACCAAAGAAAGTAAGTTTCCAGTGCTGCCTTTGCATTAACGTAATTCTGTGCTTTTGATTGCAAAGGAGATTCCAGGTACCCTTGAGCTTCAAATATCTTGTACATAAATACTATTAACATCTGTTTCCATCTTCAGATTGTTTTTCTGGGTAGTGATGGCATTGAACGCCCATTCCTGTGCAAACCGAAGGACGACCTTAGGAAAGATGCTCGTATGATGGAGTTCACTGCAATGATTAAACGCCTGTTGTCCAAATATCCTGAAAGCCGGAGAAGGAAACTCTACATCCGTACCTTTGCAGTAATTCCTCTAACTGAAGACTGTGGTATGGTGGAATGGGTGCCTCATACCCGTGGACTCCGGCATATTCTTCAAGACATATACTCCACATGTGGGAAATTTGATCGACAGAAGACAAATCCTATAATTAAACGCATTTATGATCAATGCCAAGGTAAAATGTCAGAGGATGAGATGCTGAAGAACAAACTCCTTCCACTATTCCCCCCAGTTTTCCATAGGTGGTTCCTGACTACTTTCTCTGAGCCGGCTGCTTGGTTTAGAGCTCGTGTTGCTTATGCTCACACCACTGCTGTGTGGTCAATGGTTGGGCATATTGTGGGTCTAGGGGACCGACATGGTGAAAACATTCTATTTGACTCAACGACAGGTGATTGCGTTCATGTCGATTTCAGTTGCCTATTTGATAAAGGCTTGCAGTTGGAAAAGCCAGAGCTAGTTCCTTTCAGACTAACCCAGGTAATTAGTGCTTTCATATCTAAATAGTATGTTTCTCTTCTTAGTCAAGGCTTTCCATAACTATTTACTGTTTCCAGAACTGTCTCCCCTTGCATGCTCATTACTTTTTGCAAGCAACTTCTATGTTTGGGATAACGTGATTACTGAACCTTCCTTGTATTTATGACCTTGATTTTTTATTATGCAGAACATGATTGATGGACTGGGAATTACTGGATACGAGGGCATCTTTTTGAAAGTCTGTGAAATCACGCTTTCGGTGCTGAGAACACACAGGGAGACTCTGATGAGTGTTCTAGAAACTTTCATTCACGACCCCCTTGTTGAGTGGACAAAATCTCACAAATCCAGTGGCACAGAGGTTCAAAATCCTCATGCGCAGGTAGCATAATCGATGCTCTTCCATATTACAGTGTCTGCTCTTAATGCTTGATTTACATGTTTTTTGTATGATCGTGCTAGAGTTAAAATTCAAAAAGGTTTGCTTATCATGCAACCATACTTCCTGAACCTTTTCAGAGAGCAATCAGTAACATTGAAGCAAGGTTACAAGGAGTAGTAGTTGGTGTTGGAGCAGCACCCTCTTTGCCTCTAGCTGTTGAAGGTCAGGCTAGGCGCTTAATTGCTGAAGCTGTTTCACACAAGAATCTTGGCAAAATGTACATTTGGTGGATGCCATGGTTTTGAAAAGAAGAATTGTAGAGAACGCTTTCATCAGGTTAGTCTTAGAACCCTGTATTTCTATATAATCTATAAAGTGGTTATCAGGAGATCTAGGGAAGGGAATCACAGTCAATAGGCTGAGTCAATCACTCACCACGCAGAGACCAAATTCTGGATGCTCGAGAGACTACATGTATGCATATATGCTGTCTGTGCCTTCAACATAAAAGAAGCAACAAATTCTTTGCATTGGCCATTTTGTGTAGGTCCGTTAGTGTGATCATGGCAAAGCAAGCTACCTTTTGGCTATTCTGCATCTTTAGCTTTCTAGGGGAACTGAATGGTTTAAACATGAGGCCTTCCAATGGATTTGCTATTGAATCCCTCCAGAAGGCTCCAACTAAACAGGTGGTTATTCCGGAACATCCTTCGGAGTAAGGATTTTGCTAATCACTGTATGTAGCAGAGCAGTATTAACCTCTTGCATGTGAAATAGAAAGATGAACGAATGTAGCATTAAGCAGCCCTTCTTTGTTCTCTTCAATGAAATGCAAAGAACTTACTGAGCATGAATCATGGATATGCTTTCATTCCTCGTGTTCTGTAAGATGTTTTTGCTTTCTCATTAGCATTAACATAACCATTCCTTGACCACTTTCCCTTTAGCAATAAAGCAACCTTTGTTCTTCCTGTCAATTCTCAACGGACTTCCAGTCCGAACCACAATCTCTTTCACCAGTCGTTTAACTGGTGACTGCCCTCTAACACTGCTGTGTTTCCCCGACCCACATACCACCACCACCTCTGCTGGAATCACTCCATCTCCGCTGCTGAATCTCTCTCTCAACTCATCCATCCACTGCAATATTATAACATAGGCCGAGCTTGAGTGCATTCCGTGCAAATCTAGTTTAGCTTCTGAAGCATTCCAGCTCATTGCCTCGTTCAGCACCTCTGATCCCACCAAATGTCCAACCAAAACTGCCTCTGCTTCTGTCACATTATTCACAAATTCTTGGATGGAAATTGGGAAGGCATTAGAGCTGGCCGAGCTCTGCAGCATCGACGTGATCGTCGGGCAGGAGTTCAACACTGAATTGTAAGTCCTTATTGAACATGGAATTCGTAAAGTTCTCATCTTTTGCAGCCATGTAGCCATTTCAGGGAGCGCACTGCGAGCTCCAAAGGACGAAAGGATCATGTTTGAAGAGACTGTGTCGACTTCGATTCCTTCCGTTTCCATCTTCCCAACTATCCTCTGCATGTCTGCAAACATTCCGGATTTTCCATACGCATAAAGTACGCATCTGAACTCAAACTGTGACGGCCTGATTCCTTTCCCTCTCATCTCCTCGATCAATTCTTCTGCTTCTTTTACTCTGCCCATTTCGGCTAACCCGCTCACCATTGCTTTGTAGCCCTGCTTCTTCACATAAACGGAGCTTGAACTGCGGAGGAGCTGATCCAAACGAGCTAGAGAGCAATCGAATCCTCGATTGGATCCGTGTTTGGAGTGCGAAGTGACCAACTCGCAGTAAAACAGAGCAAGCTCCCTTTCTCGGCTCTGTAATTTGGCAATGGAGTCGGAGATTAATGACTCTGATTCATCGCATTGCCCTTGTTTATCCAGCGAAGCTGCCAGATTTGCAACCAGCTTCGGGTTCCACTCGAACCATGAAGCTTCAGTGATCTTCAAGTAAAGCTGGGGAAATGGGATAAAAACGAAAGACATCATCTTCAGAATTGGCATGTAGTGGTACCCATTTCAGAAGGTTTCGGATTCCAGAGGGATAACTTACAGGCAGAGCGAGACCCGAGATTCGGAGATGAGAAGACTCGGGAGAAAGCAGAGTCGAAAGCGCTTCCAATGCAATGGATTTCGGTGACGCCGCGACGAATTTCTTTATCACACGGTTTTCGTCTCCTCCGATGACGGCGGTGGCTGCAAGAGAAGAGAAGAAGCGCTGTCCTTGCTTGCTCAGAGCTGTAATTTCAATACGACGGTCGTTGCTCCGGCGACGATGGTGTGGTGGCACGTGCAAGGTGTGCGATTGTGGCGGAAACGACACATGCATTAACATAATGGCTTAGCTGCGTCGCCTTTTTCACGCGTCGCTCAGTTTTTGCCAGCTCTGTGTATAGAAGAAGAACAATGAGAGGACGGGAAGTATGGAGCTTTACTCAACGATGGATAAGCTTAAATGGTGTTGTTTTACTGTCGAGGGGAAGAAAGCTTCGAGCTTCGAGGCCGTTGGAGGATTTCTCGCCGCGAGGTTTTGCCTCCACTGCTAGGACGCAGAGTATTTCCAGCGGAAGAAATGTGTACGAGTTGAATTTAAAGATAAGAAGTTTGACGAGAAGCGGGCTGATTGATGAAGCTCGAGAAGTGTTTGATAAAATGGTTCAGAGAAACGTGGTGTCCTGGAACTCGATGGTTAGTGGGCACGCTAAGCGGGGGGAAATGACGAAGGCAAGGAAACTGTTCGAAGAAATGCCCGAAAGAGATGTCGTGTCGTGGAACTCGATGATTTCCGGGTACGTTTCGTGCAGGTTTCTGGAGGAAGCGAGGCGTTTGTTTGATCGGATGCCGAAGCGGGACACTGTGTCGTGGAACACCATGATCAGTGGGTACGCGAAGAACAGGAGGATGGATGACGCCTTGCAGCTGTTCGACAAAATGCCTCAGCGGGATGTTGTCTCCTGGAACGCTGTGGTTACTGGGTTTCTGCAGAACGGGGAGGTGTCACGTGCAATTGAGTTCTTTAATAGAATGCCCGAGAGAGACGCTTCATCAGTCAGTGCACTGGTAGCGGGTCTTGTTCAGAATGGAGAGCTGGATGCAGCTGCAAGAGTTCTTCTCGAGTGTGGGAATGGTGATTTCAGGGTACATGATTTGGTGCATGCATATAATACATTGATTGCCGGGTATGGCCAGAGAGGGAAGGTTCATGATGCTCGGATAGTCTTCGATCGAATTCAGAGAAATTTGGTGTCATGGAATATGATGATTATGTGTTATGTCAAGGCAAGGGATCTTGTTCGCGCTAGAGAACTCTTCGATCAAATGATGGAGCGGGACAATTTCTCATGGAACACCATGATTAGCGGCTACGTTCAGGCATTAAACATGGAGGAAGCTTCTAAGCTATTTCTCGGAATGCCAAATCCAGACACTCTTTCGTGGAATTCTATGATCTCAGGCCATGGTGAAATGGGAAGCTTGGAACTAGCTCGCGATCTCTTCGACAAGATGCCTGAGAAGAACATAGTGTCGTGGAATTCCATGATTGCTGGATACGAAAAGAATAATGACCCCACCGGTGCTATTATCCTCTTCATGGGTATGCAGACAGAGGGAGAAAAGGCCGATAGGCACACGCTATCTTCAGTTCTTAGTGTCTCCTCCAGGTTAGCGAATTTGCAATTCGGTATGCAAATTCATCAGCTGATATGGAAGACTTTTATCCCAGACGTTACGATCAATAACGCCTTGATCACAATGTACTCGAGATGTGGGGCAATATCCGATGCAAGATCAATGTTCGAGGAAGTCAAATTAGAGAGAGAAGTGATCTCATGGAACGCAATGATTGGAGGATACGCATCTCACGGCCATGCTTCAGAAGCCCTGGAGATATTTCAATCGATGAAGCTGTTCGGAGTTCAGCCTACTCATATAACATTTATTGCAGCTCTGAACGCTTGTGCTCATGCTGGACTTGTTCAAGAAGCCCGGAGGATATTTAAATCCATGGCAACTGATTATGGCATCGAGCCAACGGTCGAACATTTTGCATCATTGGTGGACGTCCTCTGCCGGCATGGGCAGCTTGAAGAAGCCCTGAGTTTGATTACTACCACGCCGTTTGGACCAGATAAAGCTATTTGGGGTGCGATATTAAGCGCTTCCAAGTTGCATTACAATGTTCGAACTGCTAGAATTGCTGCTGAATCATTGATGAGGCTAGAACCAGAGAGCTCGGCTCCATATGTGTTGCTGCATAATATGTATGCAGATTTGGGACTATGGAACGATGCAAGTGAAGTGAGGTTGATGATGGAGAAGAACAATGTCAGAAAGGAAGCAGCACATAGCTGGGTGGATTGATTTATTTCTCTCATCCATGACGATCGCGGTTTAAAATCCGTGGTAACTGCATCAACTCGGTCAGCAGCAAGCATTAGATGCATACTACGGGGTCAATCAGGACCTGGAAGACATCCATGAGTAGCGCAGCCTGAGGTTATTGGTTCTATCAGCAGACAGGTTAGTTCAGGATAATATAGATGTCTTAGATATTGCCGCTCTCAGAAGAGGTTTAGAGCCTCTACCCTCTATCTCTTCCATATTAATATCTTGTTGAACTTTGCTACTCGGCTTCAACGACCAGGATATGAAGACATATGAACACGTTTTTTCTCCCTCGTCTCGTGAAACATTGAATAGAGGACAAACCACTAGAATGTCTGGAAATGTTGCTAACTGGCAACTGCGCCCATAGATATCAACAGCCGTTAGAGCACAGAGATCTACACCACTGTCTGTGAAATGTGTGCAGTGCAGGCCAAAGCACAAACGTTCTGGTAACGGAATATTCAACCAACTCTCTGCAATCTTTCCCTTCCGAGAAAATGTTAAAATGCAGGACAAAAGGGACAGGCTTGTCTAGTTATGCAGTCCCGTATTCTCGATTCTTTAGTTGACCGTCGTTCATATACCATGAGACGTTGACATAATGACATCGATAAGGGAATTACTTCTCCTATTGGTCAGGAAATTTTGCTAGCATGTTGATGATATTGTTGGCACTACGATGGACTAACACCTTTTTCGATGGATTGCTCGACGCGATCCAACTTTGCCAGCCTATAACTTCAACCCATCAGCACGCCAGCCGGATTGTTGGTCAGTAAGGGCTAGATTTCTTATAAATCATGGGAATATGCAGTTTTCTGAGGGTTGATATGATTTTTGTTTTCTTGGGCAGCATCAGCAGACGGTTCCACTTTTGTCAAGTTGTGAGATGACCACCACAAGTGTCTCATCTGCAACTTCATGATGAGCAATAGATGTCGACGACAAAAAGATTGACATTCATTCGTGGGATACGGCAAGTAAGAACTTTTGCTTGCTGGCTTTCCTTTTTCAGCCTAGCTGCTTCTGTTTGTAGTCTAATGATTGTTTCCTTGGTGTTTGGAAGCTTTCCTCAACTCCAAACCAGCAAAAGCGAGAGGTTCCTTGGTAAGGGACCGGTTATTGTAACAACACCCATTGTGTTGTTATTGTAACAACACTAGTCCCCAACCAATAGGAAGCTAGGATTGTGATGACTTTTTATTAGATGAGTTGACCTAGTGTAAAATCAAAGCAGGGGTATAATTGCCATTATGAAAAATCTATTTAAATAAAAAATAAAAAAAATAAAAAAATAAAAAAATAAAAAAATAAAAAAATATTTTTTTATTTTCTGCCAAAAAATTTGGTCGTCGGAATTCTGCCACCGGTCGCCGGAAAATGGTCACCGGTCACCGGAATATGCTTTTTGTCGCCGGAATATGCTATTTTGTCATCGGAATATGCTCACCGTCGTCGGAATATGCTTACCGGCGTCGGAATATGCTTACCGGCATCGGAATCTAGTCACCGGGGCCGGAATATGCTTATCGGCGTCGGAATCCGGTCACTGACGGTCATCGGAGTTCGGTCAACGAACTTCGTTGACCGGTCAACGGTCTTCGTTGACCGGTCAACGGTCAACGACCACCGGATGTTATGGTCTGCATTGTGAGATTTATGGTTTGGTTTCTCATATTTTTTTATGCCTTTTATGGTTTGTTTTATCGTGTTTGTGGTTTGCATTGAGAAGTTTATGGTTTGCTTTATCGTGTTTGTGGTTTGCATTGAGAAGTTTCTGGTTTGCTTTCAAAAACTTTGTGGTTTGGATTGTGAGGTTTTTGGTTTGTTTTAATATATTTGTGGTTTGCGTTAGGACGTTTATGGTTTGTTTTTTGTGGTTTGATTTACTGTGTTTGTGGTTTGCATTAGGAGGTTTCTGGTGTGCTTCGCAAATATTGTGGTTTGCTTTGTGAGGTTTGTGGTTTGTTTTAGGAGATTTGTGGTATGCATTCGGAGGTTTCTGGTTTGCATTAAGAAGTTTCTGGTGTGCTTTCGAAACTTTTCTGGTTTGCTTTGCGAGGTTTCTGGTTTGTTTTAATATATTTGTGGTCTGCATTAGGACGTTTTTGGTTTGCTTTACCGTGTTTGTGGTTTGCATTAGGGGGTTTGTGGTGTGCTTTCGGAATATTTGTGGTTTGCTATGTGAGGTTTCTGGTGTATGTCAGGGGATTTGTGGTTTGCTTTGCAAGGTTTATGGTTTGTTTTAATAGATTTGTGTTTTAATAAATTACCATCGAGGGTGGGTAGTACTGTTAATAATGCACAACAACTTTTTCACCGATCTCTCAACGAATCAATCTATATTTTCTTCTCTCTCTGAATCTATTCTCTGGGGAAAAAAAAGGCACGTAACGGAGGAATTGTAATCTTCTTCTATCATAATGGCGAGGAAGCTTTGCTCTGCAGCCATGAAATTAGCTGCAAAGGAAGTGATTCAGTATGTGGAGCGAGTCCTCTTGTGGATCGAAAGGATAGCTTTCTTCACGCTGACTTGTTTCTTGCTCATCCGCCTCTCCGATTCCAACAAATCCCTTCAGCCAGAATTCTTCCATGGACTCGTTTCTGGTGTAATTTCCACGAACTCCGCTGCGGAAGAGAGTGGCACCCGCAACGCGATTGGCGATAGTAGTAGTCTGGGGTGAGAGGAGACGAGTCCCCACTCGACGGCGGCGACGAAGTTGGCGGAGAGACGGTTTTGAGCGATTTCGGCGGCGATAGGACCGCCCTAATCTTGGCCTCGGGACAATGGTGAGTGATGAGATCTGACAGCTGGATGTGGTGGGAGACGTCGGCGGTCGGGAGGGGAACGATGGAGAGGTTGGTGATGGTCGGGGCAGGATTTGAGAAGGGAGTCGGTGGTGGCGGTGTCGGCTGCGACGATGACTGGTGTCTCCGCCTCCGTCGCCGGCATTTTGGGGGCGAGAGGGCCTGAGAAAGTGACGATGAGATCTGAATGGGAGAGAAGATAAAATTATTTATTTTTTGTATTATGTTTATTGTCATTTACGGTTATGCCCTTGTTGTTATAATAACAACACTTAGGGTGTTGTTATGCTATCCGCACCCCCTTGGTAATTCAGTAAAACTGCATTGACATGGAAAATTAGATATTGGATTTGGGTTGGGCCTAGGGCTTGAAGATGCCGAAAAGGGGGCTGGACATTCAAATCCAAACACAAAATGACAAAAGTAAAGCCTTAGGCCTTGGCCCTTCCCCTTCTGCCCAAATTGGTGCCACGTGTCTATATCAGAGGTGCACATCCACACAGAAAGCTTCCATAAGCTGGAGCACACGCGATCATAGGTATCCACGTTGTATGATAGAGACGAAGAGAAAACCCGGCTTCCGAAAGCGAAAGACGGCACCTTTATATATCGTTTCGCCAGTTGAGCTTGCCGCGGGGTTGGAGACATGAGAAGGTGATATTTCTTGTTTTCACGCCGGAGGAGGGTGAGAAATATTGAATCGAAAGTTGGCGACTTTTTGGTTGGTTTGGATTCCCATATTCTTTCTTCAATTCTCCCTCATCCTCTTCGTCGGTGCTTAGAATGGGGAAGAGAAGCAGAAGTGCGAGTCTGGATGCGGCGGTGGTCGATGTTCTGCACAGGGAGGTTGGCCAGGTCTCCGGCCGCCGCTTCTCTCAACGCTTTGCTGCGTCCAAGGTGCTTCTTTTCTTTCCTCCTTGAATCGAGTCCTATGCTAATTTGTGCGTTCTTATGGATTGGTTGCCTACTGGTGTTGATTGAATGTGGCTTCTGTTTGTGTCTCCGATTTCTGTTCCTGCGATAAAAGGATCTGCGCTTGTTAAGGGTCTTTGTTGTGTCTGCTAGAATGAAGGGCATGGTCATAATTTCATTGATTTTTGGGGGTGATCTGGATGGAAATGGGATGCAAACTATCTGTAGTTTATCCATCAACTTACTGAAGCTGGTGTATTCGCTTTTTGGTATCTGATTCTTGGGCCAAGTGGGTTGGGTTCAGTATAATTGTCAGTGTCTCTTGATAAGCTTCTTGCTGTTTGGTTCAATTGGTTTTTGAGACAGTACGTAAATGCTGATGGTTAATATGTGCCTGCTAGGATCTTGTGCTCCGACTTGAGCTCTACAAGAAACTAAACAAGCACTCGGGGTGTGTTAATACTGTGAGCTTCAATGCTTATGGCAACATTTTGGTGTCTGGTTCCGACGACCGACAAGTGATTCTCTGGGACTGGGAAACTGGGAATATCAAGCTGGCTTTCCATTCGGGTCACCAAGGTAATGTCTTTCAAGCAAAGATTATGTCCTTCTCAGGTGACCGCAGCATTGTCACTTGCGCTGCTGATGGAGAGGTAACTTCTCTTCCTTTCAATCACAACATCAGTTCTTCATGAATATGTACTGTTCATCACATTTCTCATGGAATGAATGTTTCTACTTCTCGAGGATGCCTGATATGGTATGGTCTTCCTCGGAATTTTGCTCAAATTGTGGACTGATCATTGATGAACTGATTTCATTTGTATAGGTACGACACGCTCAAATCCATGAAGATGGAGAAGTGGAAATTGAAATGCTTGCAAAACATCAAGGCCGAGCTCATAAATTGGCTGTTGAGCCTGGAAGCCCTCATGGATTTTATAGCTGTGGCGAGGATGGATTAGTTCAACATGTGAGCATTTGTTTTCTTGCTTGACCTTTGACTCTGTGTCTCATTTTTGTTTTCCACCTTAAAATCTCGTACTACCCTATGCAACTGAACTGTTTGATGTGGATATTCTTTCAGATTGATCTAAGAACCAGGTCTGCTACAGAACTCTTTACCTGCCCGCCTCATGGCGATAGGGCAGCTTATATGTCAGAGGTCCATCTGAATGCAATCATAATTGATCCCAGGAATCCAAACCTCTTCGCAGTTGCAGGGTCCGACGAGTATGCTCGACTATACGATATCCGCAGATGTAAGTGGGATGCATCGACTGATTTCGGCCTCCCTGCAGACTATTTTTGCCCTCCGCATTTGATCGGTGATGAACAAGTTGGCATAACAGGGTTGGCCTTCTCTGACCGGAGTGAACTTCTTGCTACATATAATGAGGAGTTCATCTATCTTTTCTCACGGGATATGGGATTGGGATCCAACCCGCGAGGAAAGTCTTCTACAAGTGATGATGTTGAAAAAGCCCCTCAAGTTTACAAGGGGCACCGTAACTGTGAGACTGTGAAAGGTGTCAATTTCTTTGGGCCTAGATGTGAGTATGTGGTCAGTGGTTCTGACTGTGGTCGGATATTCATTTGGAGTAAAGAAGGCGGAGAGCTAATTCATGTCATGGAAGGCGATCGGCATGTCGTGAACTGTATTGAACCTCATCCTCACAGCACTATACTTGCCAGCAGTGGAATTGAGCGCGATATAAAGATATTCACACCGAAAGCAATGGAAAAGGCTACATTGCCTAAGAACATTGGACAGGTACTATTTAGTGATTACTATCCTATATTGATTAGCAATTGTCTGCTGTGGAATCTAAGCTCTAGTGTTAACTGCTAGAGATAAAATATACAGCACTGAATTATACTGATGATTTAAATCATTAGTGTTGGTTTAACCAACTTTACTCACTGATATCTTGCTCCTGGTAGCTGGCACTTATTTGTCCTAGTTTCCTATTGTGGAATGCTGTTGCTCTAGAAATAAGGCATGTAAATCAATGGGAAATATCGAAATTTAAAAAGTAGTTAGGTTCATGATGATACTTTGGTCACTTAGGGGATGTAGTATCTACCCAGGGTCACAAGAACTAATAATGTCTTTGCCATTCCTTGTTTGGAGAAAGGATCGAATGTGTTCTCGCATTCGTTGGTTTGACTTTATTGATGACGACGACGACGATGGGGATGACAGTGATATGGCAGACGAAGATGACGAGTATATTTGTGATGATGACTTCGATTATTATGATGATGATGATGATGATGACGACGATGACGATGAAGAAGATGAGGAAGAAGAAGATGATGATGTGGACAATGATGGTGACCATGAGGGTGAAGGCAATATGGATGTTGATGATTTGCTTGATAGGTACAACGATGTCGGGACTAATTCTGATTCGCACTTTGTGTCTTCAGAGAAGGCCGAAGGCCAGGAGGAGCAGGATGGACCAGATAGCTTCGCCGCAAGATCTGATGTTGGAGCTGTTCTCTATTCAAGGACGCCGCCAAAGAAGTAGTCATCTGGATAACAACAATGAGGAGAGGTCACCTGCTAATAGGGAGCTTCTGGAGCTTATAATGGCATTCAATGCCGCCGGTGGTGACCCTTCTTCTGGCAACGGAGAGGACTCCACCAGTCAGGGAGACCTGTTTGATTAGAAGGCTTCTCCGGCGACCTATTGGTCTGTCCGAAAGACGAGGAGCTCATACGTCAAGATCGAAGCTGGAGATATTTACTTTCAGTTATCACTACCTAAGAATTTTGTTGCTCTGTTTGAGTTTGGAAATCAATTGTAAATATATGTAAACGTATTTGTCTGTGTTTAGAGGTGAAAGAGGGAGAGTTGTGCGACTTCATTTCCCCCCTCTCCCTGCTTTTTCCTCTCTTTACTCTCAGTCTGTACTTTATACAGTTATACAGAAAAAGCAACTTTCTTTAGCATCGATTTCAATCGTTGAATGTTGTTTATGAAAATGTCAGTACGTGTACACCAATGATTGAGAGCATTCTCGGATTGGGTTAGGTGTTTAGGGATGAATGTTGTATTCAAATTTATTGGTATTGTATTTGACTCAATCAGGTCAAAATGGGTAAAATTATGTTGACATACGTGAGTTTATTCGCTTTTAGATTTGACATGTATGGATTTTGATCAATGTTGTGTTGATTTTGGACAATCCCTTTGTTAAAAGATCGGGATTCATGGCCAGACCACTAAAACCGACAATCAATTACTGTAGTGGTTCAACCCATTACTTGGATGGTTTTGGATGAATTGAATGCTTTTTCACGATTGAATATTAATTTGAAAGTAACGCTTCGATTTACCTCACTCATCCGTCACCATTTTTACATAGAAGTATTAGGTTAAGTTAGTTAACCGACAAAAAAAGTTACAAAATAACCAAACCAAAAACTCTTTCTTCCATTGCTTTTTTTTCCATAGATATTTCGAATGGGATAAGCCAGATACGAATACTACATGATCATAAGAGGCCAAAGTCAAAAGAAAAAAAAGAAGGGACGTTGGTCAACGAGACGCTGAACAAACAATTAGATGGCTTGTTTGCCACGATATGGGCAGCCATATACCTATGTGGTGCGAAATGAAACGAGAGATATTGATAAGATGTTCACAGCACCTGAACCTCTTGTGTAATGGTACCTCTCAAAACGTGTGCCAAATCGTTCGTGTTGGCTATGCATATGGGTACCTGCACATCACCACACAAGTAGACATTAGAGAGACAGAGTGATTAACCCAATGGGGGACCAAATTTTTTTTCATAGGGGTGTCCTCTTCTAAAAATAAATTAAAATAAAATAAAATAATTCTTATATAAGAAAATACCTGACTCGTACGACGTTAAAAAAATTTCACGATGTTTTTGCATATTCGGAAATAATTGTAGAATACACTAGATGTCTACACTACTCAAAAAAATTTCTCTGTATATCTTACTAGACAATTATTCACGAACTTATCGCATATTTGATTCTTAAACTTGTTATTGATGCAGCCCAAAGCCAAAAAAAGACTCTTTCGGCACTTGTCTTACAACCACAAAATCAATACAAATTATGAGTACCTTGAAATTAGCTTAATTGTTAGGTTTTGAAAATAACTAGAGATAGAAAATGTCAATTTACTATTACACGGTGTTTAAAATCGAACAATAAATGAGTTGTAGCCTAATGGAAATAATCTTTATTGATAGTAGTAGTGTCCTAGGTTTTAATTATCCAAACTACCACTTATATTTTCATACGCAAACAAAAAAAATGAGAGTAGGATAATTTTTTTCCAAATTTCAGGAGTGTCCCTCACTCTCAAATATAATTTTTTGTTCGTACGTAAATTACCACCGGGAGCTGAATAATCGTTTTCCCAAAATTTAGTGTTGTATACCTCAAACCTCCTTGTGTCCGCACTGTAAGACCCAAGCTCTAATCAAATAGGATACCACTTAAATATTTTTATTTGATCATACGGCCAAAGGCCTGGGCTTGAGCATTAAAACCAGCTGGGCCTCGTAATTCATAGTGTTTTTTATACTCCAACTTAGGCTTAGGATATCTATCTATAGAAAATATTAAAGAGGTTTAGAAAAAGCCTTTCGCCACGTCAGCATTAAAATACTCCCCGGCTTTTTCGCTTCCTTCCGTTTTTTTTTCTTTTCCCTTTATATTTTTTTCTTTTCCTTTCTCCTGCGGGCTGCGGCCTGCGGTTATATTTTTTCTTTTCGTTCATAATTTTCCGGACTTTTCTCTCCTCTTTCACTTCTTTTAGTTATTTTTTACTTTAATTTATTATTTCTCAGTAATCAATTTGGGGCTTATGTTAGATGTTCTTTTGATTGTGTAATGGTCTGAGTTCCGTTAAAGAACCTCTCCCCTATAAAATTCTTCAAAACACGATCATCATCGTATTACGATTTGTGTGTGATACGATTGGGTTTTGTAGATCGGGACATTTGAATAGTATCCACTCCCTCCTTATTTAATGTCTAGATATAATTATTTATAATGGGAAGAGTCTATATTATACTTTTATATTTTGAAACAGAAAATTATTTATCAAAATAAAATCAAAACTAATTTTCAAAACTAATTATTATTTAAAAGACACAGTATTTTACATTAGTCCCAATTTTATGGTGATATACATACAATAATTGAACTTAAGTGTTTTTAACAAAATTTCGTCTAAACATCAAGAATCGTTGATCCATGCTAAAGAATATATTATAGACTTTCCTAAAAAACACTTCAGGGATTCAAATTCTCCCCCTCCTCACGCGTCCACGTCATCACATGTTTTCCCCCATTCTTTTTAACAACACGCACAATTGAAAAAAAAATCTTATAACTTCCACACGAGCCTAACACCTATTCATCCACGTCATCGTCACCACTAAGTGAATTCAGGCCTCCTTCCGTCAATTTATAATTTCTCTTTTGGTGCAGACTAATAATAACCTCACTGCCCGTCTTCCCCAAAAATCGCTTAATAGAGATTATTTATTTATTTTAATATGTTTTCTCTACAATTCCTCCGTAAATATGTTATTCACATCCCATAAAAAAAAAGTCTGTTGTCCACGTTATTTTATGAACAATTGAACATCCAAATTTTTTACCATTATCCTTTTTATTCTTATTTCTGTTGAGGTTGAACTTTTGTTTAAATTTTTTTAAATTGATAGTTGTCAATGATTTTTCAAATGTGCTATTTTAAAACAAACGGTTTGTTTGGTTCATCTCATCACTAATGAATAATTAATCCTGGCATGAATTTAGTATTCATAAGAAATAGACATTTCACTATACAATTTAAACATTAGATATAAAGAGCTAACATTGATTCACGTATTAAGTATACGATGATAAATTTGAGTGTTTTAACCAAAAAATTTGGACATAAATTTGCATAGTGGGAATTTCGAAACCTCCATGAAGGATATAATTACGAATCAGGGAGATCAAATCATTATGAATCTATATGATAAGTAAAGGTACAATTTTTGAAATTCAATGTCACATATATGTGAGGGCAAGGGATTTACTATTTACGTAAGAGGGAGAAGACTTTTCGCAAAAGCATATTAGCAATCCTAATATTTTATAAATAATATTAGACTTTTTTCCTTCTAAAAAATGAACATGTAAAATGAAATGTAAATAATTATCGAAAAACAGTTCGTTCATTACAATCTCATTAACGTATATTGTATTGAGAGACCTCATTAATGTTCTTGAAAATGAGTTTAAAAAATAGAAATGACTTAAAAAATTTAAAACTGTTAAAGTATAGCTTTAAATTACTGAATCGATAATATAAAATGAAAAACTCACCCGGCCAACGGGCCGGGAATAATGCTAGTAAAGAACAATGCAGATCCAGAAGGGATTTGAAATTGATACAACCCAAACAAACAGGCCTAATGCCAAAAAACAAAGTAAACAGGCCAAATGCCAAGTTGGGCTGGGCCAACGTACGTGCGGCTCTTGCCATGCATGCAACGTCCTCGAAGGTGCTCGCTAGCACAATGGCCACTCGCACAATCCACGCGCCCTTCCGCGTGGCACATGCGAATCGCGACTTTGCTACACCAACAATACACCCACCTTTAATTATACTAGACCAATACATCCTACCAATAATTATTTCGAGGTTACTTCTAAAAAAAATCGAGGTTTAAATGACGATTGTAAAATCCTATCGAAAATTATACTGCATAAGTCAATGATGAAATATTTTTGTGTTTAAATTATGGTTCAACCATTTCATAAAGTTTTATGTGGAATTGGACTATGATAAATAGTTTTTATTTTTTGTTCCGACCATCAATACGGCATGATTTTGCCGAGACGGCTTTAAACATGAATAACAAGTAAAAAAGCTATACAGGGAGAGTAATCTCTCAATATTACTCCCATTTTCATCTATGATCTATATACCCGCGCACTATCAATTTTTCATATGTGTGTCAAGGAATTATATGCTTACAATATTTCAAATATGTATCATACACAATTTGATCTAATGCACATTCCTATGTGGAAGCGGAAACATGAGTAAAAGTGTAACTCGCACACACAAAGTAACATTTTATTCTTATACATAAATGTCACAACAGAAAGCCAGACAACTAGAACACAATAAGGAAATTACAGTCACACATGAGTACCGGCGACATGCTTCACTTCTTATCGCTTACTATATAGACGTAATTTCCATTAGCTATTTGCCATTATTATTATTATTATTATTATTGTAAATTTAGGATTTTTTTTTTGGTATTTGGGATTATTATTCTTGTTAAAGAAGTTATTGTTTAGGAGTTGATCTAGGATTAGTTTACCTTGTTCGGAAGGGAAATGAGCGTTTGTAGGATTATTCCTATAAATATGTACTTTGTCCCTGCGTTTTAATTAAAATCCGGCGATTATAGCGTAGAGCTATTACTCGAATGTTATGTTTGAGTTTGGCAATTCCATCAAGCAAACAACCCATTAAAATCCGGCGATTATAGCGTAGAGCTATAACTTGAATGTTATGTTTGAGTTCTTACAACTTCATGTCTGATATCACTGGTGAAAATATCTCAACTCAACATTGTAATTCAGAAAAAAATTATTAATTACTATATGGAGGTATAGCTCAGAACAACCGTTGATCCTATATTTACACATGTTTTACATGCAGAGTGATTTAATTGCTAACTTCAGTTACAGGCCTCCAGGCAGTACTCTCCACAGTCAGACCTTGTGAGTTGGGATCTGATGATGTTCTGCACTTATCATAAGACTCTGAATGAAGGCAATCATCTGCAAAACACATGGAAGGATTTTCCACGAAATCGTCACGCGAATCGATGGATTGAGAGCAGTTAGGTTGTGCCAGAAATTGGATTGTTGCTAGCTAGCCATATATATAGTATGTAACACATGTTTTTACCGTCATGAAACCAATGCAGAGAATGCTGAACCCAGGGAAGTCAAATGGTGGTTTCTCAGACAGGAACATAGCCGTCAGAGGTGTGAAGAGCAATGGAGCTATGATGCTGCCAATGGAGCCAATCCCTGAAAGGCAACCTTGAGCCTTCCCTTGCTCTCTCGATCCAACTTGCTTCGACGCGATGCTACGAAGCTATGCACCAAAAGAAAGCTCTGAGAGAAAGTAAAGATTAAAAATGCACCATCTGGCAGCTGCAGAGGAAGATGGAGAAAGGGGAAAAGAAAAGGTACAGTAAGACTTACACAAGGAGTTACAAGAACCACAACTGCAGTGAATACAGCTGTTGCATAAGGAACCTGCATTGCATTATTACACAAAATTGATCATTAATGATTAAAAGAAATTTGTAACAGATATCAGATATGAGAAAGGGATGCGAAAAAACTCACCCAATCGACCCACGCGACACTGAGGACAACGGTCTGCAAGGCAGATAATCACAACATTTCAGAATTCAGGGGAGAAAATCAATTAGTTCATGAACGAGAGGAAATCAGCATATTTAGATAGGTAAGTTTCATTACATTTGCACAGCCTACTAGCAGGCCTAGTGAAAGCAGCTTCTGTTCTGCTACGAAAGGCGCCAGCAGTGGCATCAGGATCAGCTGTTTGTTACAATTTTGTGAAGCATTAGATCAACAATACAAATGGAGGCATTATAATTAACTGATCAGGAACATCAAATCGATCGTAACGCGTAGAATATATATATGTGTACTTAACTTGAGACACCATTCCTGCAAGTCCCATGATCAGCATTAGATCAGCATACTGGTTCTTGCTGAACTGAAATCGCGCCTTCAAGTAGTACTACAGGGGGGACAGAAAACCATCATTATTATTGAAGATATTGTTCATCGATGTGTTATGATTCATGGCTAGATGTGACAATTACCATGATGGCAGCTTGGAGTCCACCTTCAGCAAGACTGTTGAAGAATGTGACTATGGCTGCCTGAGAAAATGTCACACTGCACAAAAAAGTTCAATAACCCCATGAAAGTAACTACAAGAACCAAATTAGAAAAGCAAAAAAAAAAGGTGCTCAACCTGGTCCTCAGCAAGGAAATAAGGTCACCAACTGATGGAAATGCCTTGAAGGCCACCTTGTTAGTAAGAACACAACTTTGTTGATCACCATCATCATCTGAGACTATTTGTTTCAATATTGGTTGTGTCAATATGTGTTCTGTTTCAGACAGTCTGTCCTTGAGAAAGACTCTCATGTACACAGCTGCAGCCATGGACAGAGCTGCAGCGACCTGGAACGCCATTGCGGTGGAGAGGAATCGAGCAGATAAGGTCCCGAAGACGAAAGCAGATGAGCCAACACCAGCTAGAATCCCAAATGCTGATGTCCTTTTGGATTCTGAGATATTGTCTGCCTGAAAAAAAAAACCCATATCAATGGTGATTGATTTTGAGAGTTAAAAAAATTTGATGAATCAGTGTTTGATTTTATGGGAGGAAATGGGCTACCACATAGGCAAGAGCAAGGCAGTTGGTGCTGCCTTCAGAGAGCATGGCAGTGATTGTTCTGAGAATGTAGTAGGCATAGAAGAACTCTGTTGTTCTGCTGTATGCTAGTGTTACTGCAAATTAGCAAAATAATTAAAGATTCCACCAAAAAGAAGAAGAGGAAAGACAGAAGGAGAAAAAAAATATTCATTTTCCAACTTTTTTGGGCTTTCTTGTCTATTTTTATTATGATAATATAGCTTCACCCTTTCCTTGTGGGCTTTTAATTGTAGATTTATGTTCACCGCAATAGATACCTTTTGGGCCAAATCAAGGCCCGACCCACCTACCAGGTAACTAAAGTAAAGGCGTGCAAAATTTGATTTAATTGTTTCGTTTTGAGATATTTTAGCCAAATCGATCTGTTTGGCACCATAAAAATTTTTTGATGAAGGAATTTGGCCTGGAGAGTTTTAAAAATTGACATTATGACTTATGAGACAATTATAATTGTCTGGGGTGGGGACAGAAATTCGAATTGATTCGTTTCAAACGACTTGTTTTATAAAATGAACTAATTGGGCAAATTATCTCATTTTCCAATTGATTCATCCAAATGACCACCTAAAATTCTTGAAACAAAAAACCATATTGTGCCATATCCGAACCTATGTAATTCGGTCTATTTGGTACTTGTACGAGACGAGCCTAAATCGTTGCACACGCCCTCAGGTCAAAAATGGAAGTTCTATCGAAAAAGTCGGTGGTAGGGATATTTTTTTCTGAAACTATAGTCAAATATGGTTCAATTGTTTCCTGCCTCAAAAACCAATCATCGAATCAAACTCTGACACAGATTTTTCGATCAAACCATCAATATAATACAATTTTACAAACAATTTTGAATGTTTTTGTATGATGAGATAGAAACAAATAAGAATGTCTCTCTCACTCTTTTCCTTTTGGGCCCACTTTTAACTTTTGGTAGGTCAAGTTTTCTTTGGTTTAACCGACGGATTAAAAAGAGAACATGAAGTGTAGTAGAAGAAATAACAAAAGTTGACACTAGTGATGACAACATTTAATCTTATCTGGGTAATTCTTTCTGCCCGGATGTGTTTGTGGTGATCAATATTACTCAATCTGTAGTAGTGTGGGGATAGGTTATGCGTATTGTTTCTCATCTATTCAATTTCGTTTTCGATCCGTTCCATCATGATTTGTGTCAATAAAAACCTATATATCTCTTCTTTTTACCTTTATTAAATCATATTTTCATCTCAACGAAACTATAAACTCTATCTTTCAACTATTTAAACTCAATTATTCCTTCTACTATATTTTTCATAAAGTGTTTTCCTCAATATCTTCTTATAAAACAGTTAAATATCGACGGTGTTTTCAAAAATACAGGTCGACCCGTCTCACCCAATACTCATACGAGTATTATCCGACTTGATCCACTTTTTATACGCGACCAATATGAATATTGAAATAACCGCCCCACCCTACCCCACCCATTACCAAACAAGTTAAAAGAAGGGGAAAAAAAATGAACCGTCGAATGAAAGACAAATTAGGGTTAGTAGGGGAAGTTGTACCAAGAGGAATGATGGAGAGGGTGAGTGGGAAAGTGAGCAAAGCTTTGCGCCCATATCTGTCCGACAAATTCCCAATCAACGGCATCATCACCACCGTCCCCAATCCTATCACCTGCAACAAAGCACAATCAAATGTTTAATTCATCACCATATAAACCCTTAAAATTCTATAGTTGCACTTGTATTGCTTTGTTGATTAACTTGATCGTTATTATGAACTAAATCATTAATGAAGTTTAGACGCGGGCTGCATTCATCGATGTTTTGGAAATCCATTTGATTGATAGGGCCGGACGGAAAATACCAGATGCGCGGGACTCAAATCTGTAGAGACAGTTTTAGCAATAGGAAAATTGTATGTTGAACCCCGATTAAACCACAATTTTAGCACTAAATATAACATTACTGACTTTCACAATCCTTGGTGTTTATATTATGAGTGGTGAAAACTCGAATTTTAGGGGTTTTATAATCATGTGTTTTGTACCGGTGTGTATTAATTAAATTGATCTTGAATTAAACTTATTAACAAACTAAATAGCAATTAATTAGCTGATGTGTCTCCAGTGACCGAACTTCTAGGTATATGCCCCAAAGCAATCAACATGTAACAATTGCAGTAATATAATACCATACTAATCGCCGTTGTCAAAAACCTTTTAGCGACGAAAAAAGCAACTCTTTTTAGCAACGACCCGACACGCTAATTTAACATAAATTGACATCCGGCGGTAATACACATATAGATACGTACAGCTTGTTGGAAACCGGAGAGGTAGATGGCGAGGGAGCACTCGTCGACGCCGGGGCAGAGCGCCTCCATGGTGACGTCGGTGATCGCCGGAATCACCATGATCCCCGACACCGCCGACAGGAACACCGTCATGAAAAGGTGGCCGAGCTCCGCCATCTCCTCCATGGATTCACAGCCGCTGAGAGAGGGAAAGCTTGGAAAGTGGAAGAGGAAGTGTAGGAGCTATAGCTAGCTGGTTCAGTTTTTATTGTTGTATTATAAAAAAAGCAAAAAGAGATATAGGAAAAAGTGGGGGGTAGGGTTTTGCTTTGGGAGCTTTGTTTATCACTTTTGGAAGGGAGACAAAAGAAAGAGGGAAGAGAGATAGAGAGGTGTGGTAGTGGAAGAACTAGTTGGTTTACAGGTCTCTCTTCTTTCTTCTTTTGCCTTCATGACCTCTTTATTTGGTCGCTAATGATGAAAGGGACACGATGATCACAAGGAAATATCTAGCTACAAATTGAGTGTTTGCCACATTGGTGGGCTTGGAAGAGATCCCATTTCCCATCTAATGCAACAGGATCACTTTGTTTGTATATCTCTTTTACGCTTAAATTAAGATATGAATGGAACACGTTGATTAAGTATTTCAAATGAGCTGTATTTATATTGATCGGTTAATATGTATTCATTTCGATAACTATGAAACGATTACAAGGTAGTTCCGAAAAAAATCGAATACTAAAAAGAATATGATTGTATCTACTTACGTAATGATTGGTTCATTATTATTTGGTTGGGGTTGTCATTAAACAAATATTTTGTTTAATGATGAATATTAATGCCTATGTGCAAAATATTAACCAATAAGAGAGAAAATTGGTAAAAATGATGAAAGGTCGCAAAGGTAGCATCATGAAACTTCTCAAACTTTTCACTGTATGCAAGCTAAGTAGCATTTCAGATTAAATTAAAAAAAATTAGTTTTGATGTCATGGACATGTTAATTTGGATAAAAAGTAAAAGATCGAGGCCGGTGGTGATGGTGATTTGGATAAAAATCGAAAGATGTGGGATTGAGAAGAGCCAATCATAATTAATTGCTTCAAAGCTTTTTGTATGAATTGCAAGATTTGACCTTATTGCTTAATCGGTTGAGTGGAAGGTGATGATGGAAAAAAGGGAAGTAGTGTATTGATGTTACACTTGCATGCGCTCATGGGTATTCAATATTGATCAAGGATTGAGATATTTGGAATGAAAAAAAAAAAAAAAAGGTTGCTTCACCTAAAGTATTTGGGCAAATATACAATTGGGAGGTCAATTACAAAGGTCACCTAAATGGTAGGGAATAAATTGCTTGCTAAGTAAGCTTTGATTTTCGAACCTAATTAACATGTCACTTAAGTTTGAAACACGAATCATATGGTTACCGTTAAAATTACCCATGCCCCGTTCCATACCACTGCAGGTCGGGTATTACTCTGCCCAACACAAATGAGATCGGATAATATCCAATAAGACGAGTTCAAATTACCATTTTAAAGTCAAAACCTTTGGATGCGACACCAGCAGGCGGCGGCAGCAGCAGTCACTTGCAAGTAGGGCTGCAAATAAGCCGAGCTGCTCGACGCTCGACTTGAGAAAAGCTTGTTCGAAACTCAACTTATTTACTATTGAGCGAGCTTGAGCTTAGCCTTCTGTAGCTCGTGAGATAGCTCGACTCGGTGGCTTGTTGAGCTCAACACGTGAGCTGGCTCGTTTAGTGCTCATAAGATGTCTCAACTCTCAACATTGTGGCTAGAGAGCCAACTCGATTACCGATTTATGAGCGAATTGATCTATATGAATTTGATTTGATAATTTATAGAATTGTTAAATTATATATCTCACCCTTTATAAAGTTTAACACGTAGATTATGTGAGCAAATATGTCTTATATAATTTTAAAAATAAATTATATATAATCTATTGCTTCGATATTATGAAATAACATAATTTCACTAGTTAAAATTTATTAACTAAATAGTTTGATATCATAAAGTATAAAATGAGATTAGTTAATATTGAACACTTAAATTTTATTATTATTATTATTTTAATCTTGACATTAATAACATGTATCTTGCATGACATAAAAAATGAATATATCAAATACGAGTTAAAATTTTATTAAGCAAGCTAGTTCAAATTCGACTCGACTCGACTTATTCATAAACGAGCCGAGCTCGAGCTCAACTCATCTCAACCTAGGGTAAATTTCAATTCGACTCGAGTCATTTGCAGCCCTACTTGCATGAGTATTGAGTAGTGAGATTGGCAAACAAACTAGGGCCCTTTCTGGTCCGATCTAACACGATTGGACTTGGACCAATATTCCACCAAGCTCTTATGGGCCAATCCATCTTACTTTGCTTGTGTCCACCAAGCCCAACCAACCGAGCTGTAGTTCCTGTCAAGCATGGGCTACAATGGAGCCCGAATCTGATATTGCATTGCATGCCTCGGTACCACTAGATAACGTCTTGGGCCCTGGCGAAGATTTACGCAACAAACTTAGGGAAGGTGCCCAACCCAGTCCAATTGCAAAGCCGAAGTGGAAGGAGGGACCCCTGCAAAAGCCCAATCTGGTTCTGTGGCCCAGGCCCAACAAATGTCAACAACAACAATAGTCTCACTCGGTCAACCAACTCAGCCCGACTCACCTACCTAAGATACGTGCGTGGCAGATTATTATTATTATATTATTGCCAGTTGGCTGAGCAGACAAATGTGATGTAAATTGTATGCTAAAAAATTTGTGCGGCCTAGAGTTTTTAAAGGGAATGTTGGCCTAATTCATGTCTATATTTGTGGGGTTCTTGGTAGCAAATTTTGTATAAACCTCGAGTTCACGAAATCGTTAGATATCTAGTTTTCGTTCAATATTTGTGATGTCTAGCGAGAAACTAGATATTTTGATTGAGTTTCACTGATAATATGAATATTTGATACATCATCTTGATATTTAACGTGCATAGCGGATAGTGTACACGATTCGGTGAAAATTCTGTCGATCTTAATTCATTGGTAGTACAAATTAAAAGTTTCCATTGCACTTGTTCAACACAGAAGATCAAGTGTTGCAAAGTCATTATTTGAAAATCTTGAGATACTACCAGAACCCGAAAAACAAAAATATGTCTAGTCTCCATGTAAATGTGTGAGATCACGAATCGCCGAACTAATTTTAATAAGTCAATTGCTAAATTCGCGTGATGACTATTGTATAGTGATCGATCCGATCCGTACTCCGAAAGAAACTGAATTTTACTATACATTATTGCTCTATGCATTTTCCCTTTATTCTAACCTTGATAAAGTTTTGGATTCCCCTCGATTCTTAACCGGACAAATCTCAAGTGATTTTTCCTTAGATTTTTTTTTTTAAAACCCCTGAAAACTGGCAAAAGAAAAACCCAAAAGTTAAATCTGCCGTTTGGAACCATTAATATAAAGCAAACTCTCCTGTCCACACTTCCACACTCTCTGCACTCTCAAAAAGCTCTTCTCCCCCTTCCAGTTCCATCAATGGAAACCTTCGGCATCCTCGCCACCCTCTCCGTCTGCCTCCTCGGCGGCATCTACTGGTTCGTCTGCCTCCTGGGCTCGGCCGAGCAGAAGGGCAAGCACGCCGCCCAGCTCTCCGGCGGCTCGATCTCCGCCGAGAAAGTCCAGGACAAGTACCAGCAGTACTGGTCCTTCTTCCGCACTCCTTCACAGATCGCAACCGCCGAGAAGGTTCCCGCATTCGTCGACACATTCTACAACCTCGTCACCGACATCTACGAATGGGGTTGGGGCCAATCTTTCCACTTCTCACCTTCCCTGCCGGGGAAATCCCACCGCGACACCACCCGCCTCCACGAGGAATTCGCCGTCGATCAGCTCAAAATCAAGCCCGGGAGCCGGATCCTCGACGCCGGGTGCGGAGTCGGCGGCCCGATGCGCGCGATTGCGGCGCATTCCGGCGCGAAAGTGGTCGGGATCACGATCAATGAGTATCAGGTGAAAAGGGCTCGCGACCACAACAGGAAGGCCGGGCTCGATTCGCTGTGCGAGGTCGTCTGCGGCAATTTCTTGAAAATGCCGTTCGAGGACGCGAGCTTCGATGGGGCGTACTCGATCGAGGCGACCTGCCATGCCCCCAAGCTCGAGGAGGTATACTCTGAGATTTTTAGGGTTTTGAAGCCTGGATCGATGTATGTTTCGTACGAATGGGTGACCACTGATCTGTACAAATCGGAGGATCCTGTCCATGTGGAGATAATTGAAGGGATTGAGAGAGGGGATGCGCTGCCAGGGCTTAGGAGGTACAACGACATTGCAGAGACGGCGATGAAAGTTGGGTTTGAGGTGGTGCAGGAGAAGGATTTGGCGAGGCCGCCGGCGGGGCCGTGGTGGTCGAGGTTGAAGATGGGGAGAATTGCTTACTGGAGGAACCACATTTTGGTGACTGCACTTTCTTGGATAGGGATTGCCCCCAAAGGTGTGGTGGATGTTCATGAGATGCTGTTCCACACTGCAGATTACTTGACTAGAGGTGGAGAGACTGGCATCTTCACTCCTATGCATATGATTGTCTGCAAAAAGCCAGAGGCTTAATCGCAAAAAACTAAAAGGGCGGTGGTCTAATTCTTCCCTCTGGTTTGGCTTGGCTTGGCTTAATCATGGATGGAGGTTGCTGCTGCTGCAATTGAAAATTAGCTGTGCTTTGGGGGTCCTGGTGATAATTTGATAACTTTTGTTTCTTCCTTTTGTCCCTTTTCAAGATATTAGTTCTAGCTTTGGGAGCCTTATTGGGTTTTAGCTGTGGTCCTTTTGTCTCTATTGTTGTTTGCTGTTGGTGTTAGTTGGCAGATAGCAACTGCTCTGTCTTTGGTTAGTTTCACTAGCTTCCTTCTTTGTTACCTCTTTTAGCATAATGCAGTGGGAGGACTACCAGTTGTGTTTTGGTTATGGACAAGCAGGATTGAAATAGGGTTTGGTATTTATCTTACTCTAATTTGTTGAACATGAAGGAAGAACAGTTTCTGTGAGAATTTTCCTACTCTTACTTAACCATTTGCTCAAGTTCCTCAAAGTTCAACAAGTCTCTGCATTTATCTTCTTCATTGCCTTGTTCCTCTTTGCAGACTCTGATATGATGGTTCAACTGCATTTATGAAGGCAGCATATATTCTATACATTTCCCTGAATTTGTTTATCTAGTTGCCTTTGATTTAACGGGTGGAATGTCTGCGTATGGCCACCTGCTAGTTTGGTGTGTTACGGCTGAAATTGATGCTGGAATATAGCTGATGTGTTCAGTTATTGTCTTAAATCCATGGCATGTGATCCCAATAGCTGTATGGGGGACTCGTTTGTCAGAATCATCTGTTTTCCAACTTGGCTGGCTGCTGGTCAGGCCTCAAATCAGAGGACACAAAGGAAGACTTAGAAAGCCTCGAGCTTTGTGTGTAAACAAAACACAACTCGTTCTGTGGTCAGTCATTTATTGATTTCGTGCGGTCGCTCCCCAGTGGTAAGGGCATTGCGCCGTATCGCAAGGTATTAATGACCGCTTTTGATGGTGGATATATTCTGATATCAATGAGAGCAAGAGGTACGATGTGGACATAACAACCTTGGGATCATTTATGATTCAGTATGACTGTGATAGACTTTAATGTGCATGCATACTGTTGTTGCATTTGATGCCCAAGATTCAGTAGTTGAGTTGGATCTGGACGTCGACAGAGGCAGACAGTGACTTTCTTTCATCGAGTGTTTATGAACTGTGTTTATGACAGATTTAACTAGTTTGTGTCATCTGATGCTCATTATAGAACCCTTTACTTGTATTTGTATATAGTTTAGCTGTCAGCTCATGGAAGTGAACCTTTACACTGAACTTGATCTTGTGAAGAAAAGGAAACAAGATTATACAAAGATCTTTTGTTATCACGTGACATCTTGTTGTGTTGCAGAATATTGTATTCTTTGTGGATCTCAAAGTTTACAAAATTACAGTGGATCCATTCAATTCCAGGGATTACAATAATGTTGGGTTCTTTTGTCTTTACTTCTGTTCTATATTCCCTCAGTTATATCAGACTTGATTTTTGTATACTTTCTTAGACCTTGTCGCAAGGGATTCCTATACGACACCGTGCTATGCCCATTTGTATGCTTATGCATTCTTTTGCGCAGAAGTGGTCACATGGCACAGTTATTATGTCCGTAGGCTCTTGTTCTTTGTGAAGTGGCCCTTTATGTCTACACTTTAGTAAAAGTTCAGCTATCTTTTGCATCATCAGCCAACCTTTGCTGTTTCTTTTCATTTGAGTCCACTTCATGACTACTGCAACTTTACCACCACTTCTGCTTGGTTGCATCTGGTATATGCACTTGCAGATGCAAAAAGAACCCTGCTTTTCTTTTTAAGCAAACGGAAGTCGCATTGAGGAGGAAAGTAAAGTTAAAGTTGTGAACTTTTGTAGGAGATATTCTGTTGGGAACTTTTGGAGATCCAGAAGAACGTGAGGTTATTAGCTGTGATCTGAAATGGTTGTAGCATATAAGATGTGGGTTTGTGACTTGTGAAGGAGCCTCTGGTCTATTTTTATTAGAAATATGATTTCCTTATTATCTTCTTTGCCTTCATCCCCAACAGTCAGAAATGTGTTCCGCCTATGGTGCAGGAACTGTGAGCTATGATGAAGTGAAGGACTCTGGAGCAAACTTGGGGAGCAAAAACATTGTAAGAGGCAACATTAACTTTCTTGTAATTTGCGTACGGTAAGTGATTGCATAACATGTTTAGTTTTTGCCTCCTTGCAAGGTCTTTTTTGTTAGTTGATAAAGATATTTTCATTCCCCAATTTATTAAAACAATGGTAAAGGTTGGGGCTCATTAGGGAAACTACTGTTTTCCCCTTGGCAATATAAGTGTACTTGTTTTTGGATCTCACAATACAACCCTCTTTGTCTTTGTCCCCTCTATTCTTTTCTAGGAAAATAATCGAAGAGGGTTCCATGGTAATCATATCAGTCAGGCTCCTCTTTGGGTTTTAACCTTCTTTGTCTTGCTTGTGGATTATCAGGGTGTACTGATAAGGATCTAAAGTGTATGAATGGATACTACCCTTACCCTTTCCTGGGTAGGGATGACTTCTTTGTTCAAAGGCCATGACTTGCACAATTCGACAACAATGATCAATTTACCTTGTAACGAATAGTTGTTGGAATTGATTAACAGCTTCCCACAAAGTGAACGACATTCTCATGGCCCGGGATCGAACATCCAGCCACGTGAATGAGAGACGAGTCAACCAACTGGGCTCGACACCCTCGTGGTTGAGCTTCTTTGCAGTTGTATGTATTCACTCTCTTTCCTTATCTTCCTTTTTTATGCATTTTGATCCTCCTGTCTTTCTGTTAGGATGGACCCAAATGGGCCTTCTTGCTCTCATGATTGAGTGAGCCGTAGATCCTTATCCTGTACCAATCTGATACCATAAGTTGTGTGTTGAAATTCCCCTGAAAGCTAATGTAATAATAATGTCTGACTTTAGGAGTTTCAGAAATGTCTTGGAATGCCAATGATTTAGAGGCCTAACTGACAACCTGTCTCTCCCTTCTCTTCCTTTCTTTAAGCTCTGAGCTTGAGTCCCTTCAGCACAGCTTATGAATAAGGTCTCTCAGAAGCAAGAGGAATAATGTCTGCCAATGATGAGAGAAACCAACCCAATAATGGGAATTGTGGAAGTTAAAAGAGTTATGATTAGCAGATAGGAAAACTGGAATGATTAGAATGACAGGCTAGATAACAGCTCAAAGCCATTTACATATTAGAACCCCTGCCAAAAAATTCCACCTACCAAAGTTGAGAACTCATCTCAAGTCTCAACCACCATATTATTATTATTATTCCCCAGGAAAGTTTCATCCTTGACCGTGATTACCCGCGTCTTCCACCGCAACATTAGGCTCTGCATGTGAGGCATTGCTTGTTCATTTTGTACACCATTTCCCTATCTACCTTGTATGATTGAACTAACCGACTAAGAATCAGTGCTTCCATTTCACAATAAGCTGAGAACCTCTCCTACTAACGTGCTCTGTCCATCTAAAGTCAAAATTCTGCCAATTATTCGCTTGCCTGGATTCTCAGGATGCCCCCAACTGAACCCTTTTTTATAACTTTATTTTTTCTGAGTTTGTTGAGATTCACCAGCCTTCCTCGTTTCTGTATAAATAGGCCTGATTCAATTTGATTTTCCAGCAGAAGTTAAGGTGATCAAGAAAAGCAAAGAAAAACAAGCACCCGCAAGAATGGAGCCTAGAGTCAATCATGTTGTTGCAGGTGAAGGGAGGATGGGATCCCCGAAAAGGGAGCTTCTTCGGTCGATGAAAGGCGGAAGAAACCATAAGAACAGCAGCAGGAGCAACCACCAGCAGCTGCTGGAATCCATTGCCAGAGCCAACAGTGGAGGAGGCCCTGCTGTCGTTTGCCAGGAAGGTGGTGGTGGTGGACCTGGAGTTGTGAGGATGAAGGTGCTGGTCAGGAAGCAAGACTTGAAGCAGATGCTGGAGCTTTTGGGAGACGGAGGGCAGAAGCAAGCTAGCAAATTGTCACCGTCCTCTTCGCCATTGCCACGTCTGTCTTCTGCCTCCAATGTGTCCAATGTGGAGCAAAGATTGAATCTTTTGAGGAGAAAGCAGGCAATGAGAGGGAATGGAGGAAAGGGTTGCAAGGCTTCGTCGCCCCGGTCGTGGATTCCGGCCCTTCATAGCATTCCTGAAGAGCTCTGAGCAGCAGCAATGGCGGGGAATATGAAGGATCGTGTTTGACAGTTTTGATATCAAACATGTCCACCTCTTACAGTACATTATAGTACAAAATTTTAACAGGAAAACACAATCTAACTCTATTTATTTTATAAGCATTGCAATAAGAGGCTACCATCTTATATCTGGTTGATGGTATTGCCAATGACTGAGGCACGTTTGTTTCATCTTCCCCAGTCAAATGTTGTATGGAAGATGTTTTTTTGGTGGAATTCATGTTTGTTCAGTTTTCATGACTGGCTTGGAAATTGGAATTCATTGTGGCTTACCATAAACTGTTTTGTATTTTAGTGGAAGGGTTGGAGATGGCATTGATTTAAACTAATAATATTGTATCTAACACCTATTCAATATTTCATTTGTTTGGTTAAGCACAATCATCGTGCATAATCGAAAATTGAAGGAGATCATGTTGGACTAATCGATATGGCCCCACCAATTGAGGTGTGTTGTCAGACGATATGATATGGGTCAAGAGTTTTAATATATTTTCCTTTGGGATTACAATTATGTCATATTTTAGATATCGTTCACTTAACACAAAATTTTGAAACTTGCCTAAATTTTCCAGTCTTTCAACCTTGAATTAAAAAGTTTGTTATTAGTGGGTAGTGGATTAAAAAGACCATTAAAACTTAAAAGGATTTCAATGGATCTATCAAGTAAACACTAATTCCAATTGGCCAAGTTCATATATGTCATGTATTGTAATCAAATGCTTTTATTCTCATGCTCACCACTTTGAGAATAATAAGTGAGATTGGCATTTAACTCGTTTGCATTCAGACAAAGAATTTCGTGTAACACATATCAACATTTAGAATTTATACCGAGATCTTTTGCTTGTCCCGGCAATATATATGCTTCCACATTTGCATTTGAATGCCTTGATAGGATGGTAGATGTCATCAAATTCAATGCCATAATCCTGCAAAATCCCACCAAACCCTAAAATTTCTGTGAGAGAAGTTATAATATGTCAATGATCAACCCTAAAAGTAGTGACGTGGAATGGTCAACGCGACAACAAGGACGGGTTCAGGTAACGAAGAAAGCCCGCGAAAGCCCAAGCCCATGAACCATGGTTATATTATATGGGCCTAGACCGGGAGAAATTTTGACCCGCGGGTGCGACCGGCTCCGCCTGCGAAATACATTATAAATAAATACCCAAATCATAATTTCGGTCGTTCCAGAGTTGAAAAAAATGGCGGCAAGTGTTCTTCCCAGCTACTGCCGCAGCTCGTTTTGTGAATCAATCGACGATTCAACTAAACGACTTGACGAACCGAAGTCAGCTCAGTTCCCCGAGTGTGCAAGGAATTTCCGACGGAACCCTTCGAGACCTTCCATCAAGCCGAACAGCCTCGCACTCACTCGTTCCCTCTCGGCATTAGCTGATTCTGGTTCTCTTCCATGGACGCCGCGCTCCAGCTGTTCGAGAAAATGAACCACTCGGATACCTTCATTTGGAATGTCATCATTAGGGGACTCGCCAGAAAACGGTTTGTTCGCTGAAGAAATCGATTTCTACCGCAGAATGGAGCGGGAAGGGATTCGAATGGACTATTTCACCTTCCCGTTTGTTATTGGAGCGTGTGGGAAGTTGATGCGTTTCACAGAGGGGCAGCGGGTTCGTGCCAGGTTGATTAAAGTCGGGCTGGATTCCGACGTCTACGTTTGTAATTTTCTTGTGGAGATGTATTTCTCGGTTGGGTGTGTTGAGATGGCGGAGAAGGTGTTTGAGGAAATGCCTCAGAGGGACCTGGTTTCATGGAACTCTATGGTGGCTGGGTATCTAACGGCTGGAGATGGGTTCAGCTCGTTGAGTTGGTTCGATGAATGAACCGGATAGGTTAGGTGTGATCAGTGCTCTCGGAGCTTGTTCCATGGAAAGGAGGTTGAAATCTGGGAAGGAAACTCACTGCCAGGTGATTAAGAACGGGATTGATTTGGATAATTGGATGTCATGGTCGGGACATCTCTTGTAGATATGTATGGCAAATGTGGTGAAGTTGGCTGTGCAGAAATGGCTTTCAATATTATCCCCATTGAAAAAAGTTGCAGTCTGGAATGCCCTGATTAATGCTTACGTTTAAAGTGGCAAATCTGCTTGCTTGTTTGAGACTAATGCAGGAGGATTACAACATGGTTCCAGATGCTATTTCCTGTATAAACGTTGACATTTGAGGTAAAAGCCGAAGGTCCATTCACCATGACCGGTCCCACCGAGAGGCGAACGTGACCAGTCAAGTTCTTGACGTGGTACTGAAGAAAACAGGAGAGAATGTGAATGTGAATGTGAATATGAATATCAACGTGAAGTTTAGACCGTCGGATTTGATCAAGAGGAGAGGCTGGTCGCGGGACCGTCATGGAGTCAAGCTGGCGATCTGCTTAGGCTTGTTTTCGACGGCAGTTGGGAAGCCTGTTGTGGTCAGGCAGAACATGAGAATCTGCGAGGATTGCCATCGGTTCGCGAAGAAGATTTCCAGGGCCTGTAACAGGGAGATAGCAAAGTCTTCCACCATTTCAATGGTGGCGTTTGTTCTTGCAGGGATTACTGGTAAAGAGTTCATGAAAGTCAGGTATGGACTCTATTCTTTATGCAGAATCTCTCTTTAATTAATCAAATAAATAAAATCAATTTATGTTTCGTACCGTAATTAATTTTTTTCACGCAATTTCTTTGTCTAACTCACAACAAAATCGTTCAATTGATTTACTGTATCAAACTAGTTATCTAAAGTTAACTCCCCCAAAGAAGTCCATCCCAATTCCCAAAGTAGCTGTGGAAGTAAGAAAAAGGGAAGAAAAGGAGTCAACTTCGTACTTACAATTGTGCCACAGTCAAGTGTCAACCTCCTTTTTCTAATTCAGTCAGCCTTCTCGCCGTCGCCGCAGTATCCTCGGCCGACGGTGTTCTCTTTCTCTTCTTCCGGCAAAAACTCCATTCTCTTCTTCCCCGATAGCAATTGCAAAACTCCTTTCACAACGACTTCGTTCAGCCACGCGAGGCACCCGCACTCACCCTGATGCGAGGAAAATCGAGACTTGTTATCCTTGGCCCTCCGGAAAATCCCGAAAATCCCCCCGCCGGGGTAATCTTCCCCCGCCGAGGGGGTCATCGGCTGCAAGTAGGCCCAGGCGGCCTGCTTGACGATCGGATCCTTGAGCGGGATGTCTTCCCAGCTGGAATTGCGGCCGACCGGTGACAACATGGACGCCGTGCGGAGCAGGTTCTTGAAGCTGGTGTACTCCTTCGACGACTGGTCCAGCTCGATCATCTCTACGGTCAAATTGGCAAAAGCGGCGGCGGCGGAGGATTTGCGGCCGGGACATTGGTTGCATTGGTCGAAGCTGAAGATGCTGCCACCGGGCTTGCCGTCCTCCTCGTTCATCATCGATCGTTGATTGTTTGTTGTGCCTCCGGACGAGATTGAAAATTGTTAATTGGTTAGGTCCGATTTTCCTTAATTTATGTGACGATTGTGTGATTCGTTTTCGGTTTCGGAATATTTGATTTCAGATTTTCACAAAGATTAGGAAATTTAGATTCCGATTTGAATTCGAACTCTTTCCATTGTAAGTTAATTTTCCAGCATTTTAATTTCTAGGAAAATAAATAACGAAGTAGTTTTTTCCATGAAGCTTGAACTAATTGCCAATTTGCCACTTGGCATTCGCTGATATGTGTTCCCTTCTGCAGTCTCAAATCGCCGATTGCGTTGTTCTTCCTCTCCCAAATCGGAGACCCAGATGCAAAGTCCCTCCTCTCCTTCGTTTACACTCCGGGAACCGGCAAATGCTCCAGTTGGCTTCTTCTGCTCAAGCGGCGCCGTTTCTTCATTGGTGTAACGGAGCTGTTATTCCGCTCGACGCGTGGTGTCCGAGTCCAACTCATGCAGCACAATCAGGCCGCGCGGCTTTCACCGCATCGCTGCTGACACCTTCGCCGATTCGGTCTCCGCCACCTCTTTTCTTTTCGTATGGTTAGTAGACGGTTGTTGGCCTTTCTCCACCTAACTCTGCAATTTCACACTCTTTATCCGCCATGTCTATCACAATCTCAATCAGTTGTGCCTTCTACTCTTTCTTTGAAATCTCTGATTATTCGATCTTGACGCGAGATCAGTGGTGGGTTTTCTCTGATTAGCCCGTTCCTTGAATAAAGGTAAGATTTTTCTTGAAAATTCGTTTTTTTAAGACATTTTCATGGGTACTGAGAAAGAAAACCTAGATTTTTTTTATTTATAAGAACTGGTTACAGTGTTCCACTCTCTCTGTTCAGTTGTTCATAGATACAAGCTGGTGGATCATTAATCCAACACTCAAGATGGTCCCAGTCCACTTAAGAAAACCTAGATTAGGTCTTATGGGTTTTTGTATATTTTCTGTGGTTTGGATGTATGTTTAATGTGTGAACTATCGGGCCTTGGATTGTTGTTCAGTAATTATTAATTAGATCTTCTGTTCATTAATGTTGAAGCTCGTTGCTAGGTTGAACGAGTAGCTGGTACTCCTGTGGTATGTTCTTGCTGATGTTGTTTCCCATTTAGGAATGCAAAGCTTAGAAAGAAAGTACTTTAGTATACTATCACCCGATCGATTTCCAGTGAATGCATGTTGAGGGAGCAATAAAAGATTCTTTCAGTTCGGTCTTTCCCATTCAGTTATCAGACTAAATCTCTTAGCCGTCCCTAAATCTTTGATTGATACTTCAAATGCAGAAGCAAAGGAACTCTTTCCAATTGCAAACTCCATCCACCATCATCATGGACACCAACAATGCTGACGACTATTCACCAATTGGTTCTCCGTCTTCCCCCAAGCTAAACAACTACCGCAAAGTCTCAATCCTCCCACTAGTGTTCCTCATATTCTACGAAGTCTCCGGTGGACCCTTTGGAGTCGAGGACAGCGTCAATGCCGCAGGACCACTCTTAGCTATCCTTGGCTTCTTCATCTTCCCATTGGTATGGAGCATCCCGGAGGCCCTGATAACAGCTGAGCTCGGCACAATGTTCCCCGAGAATGGTGGATATGTGGTCTGGGTCTCCTCAGCTCTCGGCCCTTTCTGGGGTTTTCAACAAGGCTGGATGAAATGGCTGAGTGGTGTAATCGACAATGCTCTATACCCTGTCCTTTTTCTTGACTACCTAAAACCTGCAATCCCATCGCTTGAAGACGGCTTCATAAGGATGGTGGCGGTTCTCGTATTAACGGTTATGCTCACACTCTTGAACTATAGGGGATTAACAATAGTAGGATGGGCAGCTATACTGCTTGGAGTGATCTCACTTCTTCCGTTCCTCATCATGGGAGTGATAGCATTTCCTAAGCTCGAGCCCTCGAGGTGGCTGGTGGTCGACTTCAGCAAAGTCAACTGGACATTGTACTTGAACACACTCTTCTGGAATCTCAACTATTGGGACTCAATTAGTACTCTAGCAGGGGAAGTCGAGAACCCTGGTAAAACCCTACCCAAATCACTCTTCTATGCGCTTATCCTAACCGTGTTCAGCTACTTGATCCCGTTATTAGTGGGAACTGGTGCACTACCCCTCGATCAGGATCGCTGGACCGACGGTTACTTCTCTGAGATAGCCAAGGTTCTGGGTGGCGTGTGGCTAATGTACTGGGTTCAAGCAGCTTCTGCAGTGTCGAACATGGGGATGTTCATCGCTGAAATGAGCAGCGACTCGTTCCAGCTTCTGGGGATGGCCGAAAGAGGAATGCTTCCCAAGTTCTTCAGCAAGAGGTCTCGATACGGGACCCCTTCGATCGGGATACTTTTCTCTGCCTCAGGGGTCGTGCTGCTCTCGTGGATGAGCTTTCAGGAGATTGTGGCTGCGGAGAACTTCTTGTACTGCTTTGGGATGATCATGGAGTTTGTTGCGTTCATTAAGCTGAGGATCGATTACCCGGGAGCAACAAGGCCTTATAAGGTCCCTCTTGGGACTGGTGGAGCTGTTGTGATGTGTGTTCTTCCAGGCCTATTGCTGCTGGTGGTTTTGGTGATTGCTCCTTTGAAGGTGATGGCAGTTAGCGCGGCGGCAATTGTTGTTGGACTCGTTATGTATCCATCTTTGCAGTATGCTGAGAGGAAGAATTGGCTGAGGTTCTCCAAGAATTCTGAACATGTAGACCTGCATTCTTCCTTGACTTCTGTATAGTGGTACTGAAGAACTCAACTTTGGCATGTGTCTTTCTTTGAACAAATGGTAGAAGAGACTTAAAAGGAAGCGCATTAAAGCACTGTGTAGTTCTGGTTAGTTTAGTTAGCTGTTCCTCTATTTGTACTATGTGCCAGCTCTTTGAAAGTTTAGTAATTTATTTACTGTTTGTTTTGTATACTGGGCGTTGCTATCCTTGTTTGCTGTTTCCATTAGACTTTGGATTTGGAAGAATTGCATTCAGTCTCTGTTTTTTTGGGGTTTCTTTCTTTATGTATGATGAGCTGCAAACAAGCTGTTGTTTTTCACAGCAGGCCAACTGATTCATGCAGAAACATTTGTCAATTACCGATGGAAATCTGGAACCAGGTAATACTCCTATGTGTCCTATTTGGGGTTTTCCCTTGTACTCGGGAAGGTGGATAGTAGCCAGAATTTGTCGGACTTCACAAGTCTTTCCTTTGTCTTCAGGTGAAAACATCACTATCATGTTGGAATTCACTAGGCGGACTCAAACTTGAAAGAAACAGGCCGAGGATAGAAGGAAAACAAGAAAGAAGAAAACATCATACAGTGTTTCGCTTTGTTATGCCCTTTCCATTTCTCCTTCTCATCCTTCTTCTTCTTCCTCCTCTTGTTGCTCTAGGTGCCATTGATCATCAGTACTACGATGGGTGTCTTCAGGAACAGCCCGAGGGAAACGCCGAGGAGGAAAAGATCATCTTCCACAACACTCCAACACTTGTTCAACTTGGAATCAAACAAGGGAAGCAGCAACAACACCACCGATTGTTGCAACGGCCCTGTAACCAACAAGCAAACCGATGAAGAAATCATGTCACTGGTATGCCACTGCACCACCACCATCTTCACCTTCGTCGATGATGACTTGGAGTCTCCATCAGCACAAGAAGCGAAGAGGGTCAAGCTCCTCCAGCTTCTCTCCATCATAAAATCACTCAAACGGGAGCTCCCAGATCACGTCGTTACCTCCCTTGTGGCCATGATCTCAGCCAATCTCTTCAGGCCGCTCCCTCCAACATGTAACAACAACGTTCGGCAGCCAGCCCCAGCTGAGGAAAGTGAGGAGCTCGCCTCCTCGCTCTCCCCTCTCTGGTCCCACCTCCAGCCCATCTATGACATCCTCCTCCGCCTCCTTATTATCGTGGATCCCAAATCACACCATTGCCGTCTCATTATCGATCAACAGTTCCTCCTCAGCCTCCTCGACCTCTTCCAATCTGAGGACCCGAGAGAGCGGGAGAGCTTGAAGAATGTTTACCACAAGATATATTCGAAGTTCACGTTTTACCGAGCGTTCATGAGGAAGTCGATGAATGATGTCCTGTTACACTATGCTTTTGAGGCCGAGAAGAACTCGGGGATAGGCGAGCTGCTCGAGATATGGGGGAGTATCATTAATGGATTTACCGTGCCGTTAAAGGAAGAGCATAAGTTGTTCTTGATGAGGGTGTTGATTCCTTTGCACAAGACTAAAGGGATGATGGTTTATCACAGGCAGCTGGCTTACTGTGTCTCTCAGTTTGTGCAGAAGGAGCCTATGCTTGGCGGGTTGGTTGTTAGAGGGATCCTGAGATACTGGCCTATTACCAATTGCCATAAGCAGATCTTGCTGATCAGTGAATTGGAAGAGCTGGTGGAGAATATCAGTTCTGACCATTATAGAAGGCTGGCTTTGCCCTTGTGCTCCCAAATCACAAGATGCCTCAACAGTTGGAACTCTCAGGTATTGTTCCAATCATGTTTTCTATCTGGAGAAGTTTTGACTTGTTCTCTATGATATGCCTTCGATGTAGGCGAATTGTTTCTGTTACGAAATGATATAAACTTCGTTCTTGGACCTAAACGTGAGTTATAGAGATGATTCGGTTCATGACATTGATACAAACGATTCGAATGACTTTCTTGTACAGTTTATTCCTGTTTTCATGGATTTCCTATTTAGCCACGACCCAACCTTAGGGATTGTCACTTATTTCTGATTTGGCTTTGCCTTTCATTATGTGACTGAAGGAACCTTTTGCAGGGATCATCGAGATTCAGCCTCATCCAGGCATACAACCTAACTTTGGAATTCTATTAAAACCGTACCTGTTTTGGTTTCTTGTACAACCTGTTCATGACATTCACATTTGTTTGCTCGTATCTTGAACACATGTTCTACAATGGCGATATCTGATCTTACTGGACTGATATACGAAACCTCCAGGTTGCGGAGCGAGCTCTATACTTGTGGAACAACGAGATGTTTGTGAAGATGGCAACATCCGCCATCGAAGAAGTGTTCCCAGTGGTGGTCGAAGGGATGGAGAAGAACATGAAATGGCATTGGAGCAGCAGCGTGAAGCAACTGACGGAGAATGTGAAGAAGATGCTGGAAGAAATGGACCCGACCCTTTACGACAAGTGTCTCCAGGAGATTGGCCACAAGGATTTCGTCGCAAGGCAAGAGGAGACGAAGAGGAAGGCTAGATGGGAAAGAGTTGAATTGCAGGCAGCCATGAATACAAACAACCATCATCAACATCATCAGGCTATTCTTCTTCAGCCGCAAACGCCACCACCAACGCCGCCGCGGCTGCCTCAGTACATTGTTGTTTCCCATTAGAGATCTGCAGCGGAAGATCAAAGACCTGGTCATGGAATCCCCCGCTCATAATTTCGGTGGTGTTTGATTCTATTTTTTTAATCTTTTGATTTGTTGCTTTGTGTTGTTTGTGTGGTTGATCTCTCTGTTCGTTTTATGTGGTTCAAGGGATGGAATAACCATATATACAAATTGTGCGACATTAGGCAACTCTAGAATTGGTCACAAATGAAAAGAAAAGAAGTTGATGAAACCATTGAGAAACGATAAGGACTTGATTCTATCTAAGTTTTGTGGTTGTCTGCATATAGGTGGACTCGATCTCATGTCATATCGGTTGATCATCGATCTTGTGTCGAATAGAGTATCAATTTCCTAATTAAGGTCGATCTATATTGAATAGTAGGATTTATTTTATGTAAATGTTATGAGAACTGAATCAGATCAATGGCTGGATCAGAAGTATCCGTGAACTAATTACAATGACAGTTCATTTTATTGGACAATTGAGGATGAAATATGAAATCGAATAGAGTATCAATTTCCTAATTAAGGTCGATCTATATTGAATAGTAGGATTTATATTATGTAAATGTTATGAGAACTGAATCGGATCAATGGCTGGATCAGAAGTATTCGTGAACCAATTACAATGACAGTTCATTTTATTGGACGATTGAGGATGAAATATGAAATGAATTGGCTAGTTGAGAGGGGAACGAACTATGTTTAATTTTTTAACATGAAACCAGATGAATCAACCTGGTTCGATTCGTCCACTGGATCACTGTTTTAACCACACACAAAAAAAAATTAAACATAAAGTAAGACCATCCAACCTCGATCACTAGTTTTATTAATGTTTCATTTTATTCATTTCACACTGGTTTTATGCGGTCTAGTATAGATTGCCACCTTTTTATTACTAACTTGAATTAAAGAAAATGAATTATGATTTGTTTTACGGGATAGTTTGAATGATTGAGTTAGAACGTTTTGGTCATAGATGATATGGGTTTGATATTATTTCTCTTTAGTGATAGAATTCAGTTCTAAACTAATGTATCATATAATTTCTTTTATGTTATAGCGCATGTTCGATTCTATAACGTTTAAACATTGAATCATCAAAGATCAATGATGATTCAATATCAATGAATCTACATTCTACATGTCTCGCATAGTTTATAAAATCAAGTCAAGATCAATGATTCCTTGTTAAAAACTTCATTTCACTAAATCTACATGCCTCACATAGTTACAGACTAAAGTTCAGTCATCATCTTCTACATGGGTCCGTGACCCCATAGATCAGAAAACGAAGGGTCTTCAAAGCCATCACCACCCTGGTACGGATAAACCTGCTGCTCAAACCCATACGAGTGCGGGAACTGAAACGACAATGGCAGATCCAACAAGTCGTCGAGCCCACAGAAAGCCGGATCGAAACCCTGGCGCTTCTCCACAGGATGATCACAAACATCCCATGGCAGCACGATTTTTTCATGTCTCAAGCTCGCTGCGCCTTGTCGATTGCCATCAGCCACCGTGACAATCCCCTTTCCTTTTCCATCTGGAGCATCATCCCCTGCATCAGCAGCAGCAGCAGCAGCCACCATTTTCTCCTCCCCTGCATCACCTTCTTCTTCTTTCACCGCTGGATTGGCTGCTGCTGCTGCTTCCGCCGCCTCGAAACAATCAGCTGCGAGAGGTTGGGGTGGAGGAAGCATACAGGGAGCAGCCGCACTCGTTTCTTCTTGTTCTGTCTTCCATTCACCATCATCAACTGGAACGGCTGCTGCTGCTGCTGGCGGCTCCGAATAATCAGCAATGGCTGCTTCTTGTGTCGTAGTACTAGTATGGTAATCCTTGTATTCTTGAAACTCCAACACGGATTGTGGATCAGCACCACCGCATCCTTGATCTCCCCAGTCGAATTCCCAGTCCTGGACGTCGAAATCGATCCTCGAAGTTATGTCTAATTCATCCAATTCTTCTTCTTGGACTGGTTCTGGACACTGTGGTTTCTGTGGCAGCACTTGATTCGAACAATCGGACACCGTAGAAGGCAGGGGAGGCACTTGATTCGAACAATCGAACACTGTAAAAGGCAGGGGAGGCTGTTGTTGTTGTTGTTGCTGCAGTGATTGCTTTGGGGCCGAATTGGAATAGCACACTCTTTTGCTGCTACTAGTAGAAGCAGAAGCGTCATCAGAGCTGCTGCTGGAGGAGAATCTCCTGATGTAATCCTCGAGCTTCCTCTTCCTTCCGGCGAGAACCAACCCTCTCGCCGCCTCCTTAATTGCGTTCCCCGTCGGTGACCCGTTGTTGCGGATCATACAGACAACTTCATTCTCGTCGTCCTCGCGGCCGTCGTCTCTCCTCATGCTGAACTGGTGGAGGATCCACTTCGAGTCCTCGCTGGCGAATTGGGGATTGGGGTTTCTGTAGCTGAACCTCTTCCGCGTACCGACCCACCGCTCGTCCTGCTCCGTCGGCGACCGGGCGCGGCGGACGAGCTTGAACAGGGTCCCGTTGTCCTCGCCGTGCCAGTTCCCGCCGCTCCTCCCGACCTTCCGAGTCGCTCTCTTGTTCACGCCGCCGCCGGATTTTAGCTTCTTCTTCAGCTCGGTGAACGCGTAGACGTCTCCGGGCTCCTCGACGGAGGACTGAAGGCGGCGCCAGATCTCCCACGGGTCGTCGTCGCCGTAGAGGTCGTGGCAGCGGATGGCAGAGTAGTGGGCCGGCGGCAGCGTGCGGCGGATGTGGTTGTAGAGGTAGTAGCCCATCAGTTCTCCTTCCGTCGGGGAGAACTTCACGCCCGGTGGCATCTGCGTCGCCGACGAAGACGAAGACGAAGGACCAGCCCCAGCCCTTGCCCTAATCGAGCCCATCGACATTCTCCGATCTCTTTCTTCTGTTTCTTGATTGTGAACTTTTTTCTTTTTTTTTCACCTTGCAGGAATTGGAATGACGAAGAAAGAAGGAAAGGGCAATATATAGAGAGACTGAATCGTACTCTGTTTTCAGGGCTTTCCGACCGGCAGAAGGATTTCATCGGAGAGTAAGGATTCCCGTCTCCCCTACGGACAAGGATTTTGCCGCGCTGTGGCGGGAAAATTATTGTAAGAACTTATTATGGATTGGGTAGCGTTGTACTTATTGGGCCGTTAAAAATATATTGGGCCTCTATATAAGTTTCGTTTGGGCTCATGGTCGTCATGCCCGTCCAGTATGGTTGGGTTGTTTTTTTTATCATCTTTGGGCTTGGACAATGAGTAACCGCGGCACGAAATTAGCCCTAAGAAAGCTTAACAAAAGAGGAGTTAGAGGCCTCAATCTGATACACATCTGAAATTAATCCTTTTTGTTAGAACCGTCATCCAGTCGGAGCAGTAGAACCGTCAAATCAATTGGCCATCGCAAAAGCGAGTCAATTTGTTTATTTGCACAATCATAAGTGAATCAAGTGGTTGTTATCCGTTGAATATTTGGTTTGATGTGTCCAGTCTGATTATGAAAACTAAGAAAATTTTCGATACGAAAAATTAGCTTCGATGTCTTGATAATACCGAGTACTGAGAAATCTATTGGTAGGGGGAAACAAAGAACTTCAGTGTAACGATCAAATTTGAGCCTCCATTCTCAAAAGAGATGTTTGCTATAAACCATAAAAACCAATTATATAACTTAACACAAGTATACCCCAACTACATTCTAAATTGCAGTTTATACAAAGGTGCAAAGATACACATCCTACCAAGGAGAAAACCAAAATAAAAGGCTTGGCTATGATCATGCAATTTGAGTAATTACAGGTGTTACAGCAGTAGATGTTCGCTTCCCTTCTAACCCTCCTCCTACCTTAGGTACAGGGAGACCAAGAATTGAGACACCAGAATGAACTCACTAACCACCGCCGCTGGAGAGTGGAGGCCGAGAAACGGGACAATATCAACCTGTAGCCAGCTCTCAACCGCCGAACCCACCACAGCACCTGCGACAAGCCCTCCCAATGTAATCACAGTCGCCTTACCTGCAGAACGAAAACAAACCACCACCATTACAATGCAGGAAATGTGGGTGGGGGGAGAAGGCATGCTCGTTGGAGGGTTTGAGGGCTCGTTACCTAGTTTAACCTTCTTCTTGGTCATGAAGTATAACGAAGCTCCCAAACTCGTGGCAAGGAGCAGCCCGGGGACGTCAGCTGCAGCATAGGGCACCACGGATGAGGTGGCAGCTCCGTTTGCATAAGTCAGGACCATTAGGGCTCCATATACACTGGCTTGTATTCCCAAATCGGTAGTTGGTGGTGCCTCTACTGAGATGGGTGGATTCTTGACTGTAGTCTGCAGCCATTGGGGCATTGCTCCACCCATCCTTCCTCCTGGAGTGCTCACGGGAGTCACATCAGCGTAACGAATTCGACTGTTTGCTACTTTCCCTGCCCGACGTTGAGATAGGCTTTGCATAAGGATCATGTCGTACGCAGCTTCAACCTGACCAAAGGAGAAACCAATCAAAAACCCACATCAGGTATGATCATCCCAATAGGGAGAGCAAGGGACAGTGAGCAATAGTACAATCACAACAGTTCATGAGATAAAAAATGATACCATGACTGTAAAGTAAAGAACTTCACATTCAGATTTCAGTACGCAATGGAAGCTAAACTACGCCCTAAATTCAGCAACCCATTCCGCTGAATTGCTCACTGTAGAGAGCTATGTTGTCTAATCGCCATAACTCTACAATGAGGATCTCGGGCGGCCATTATTGCTATAGTTCAACAAACTAGTTTCCCCGCCATCAAACTCAAACCTCGCCCAAAAAGGCCAAAAACCCAATGGCGGAACATTCGGGAATTTCGACACAAAACACTGAATATTCATATAGAAACGATCCAATTCCAATGCGAGAAATGAAAAGTCGGATTGCCACGCTCCAGGTTAGTCACGGCAAAGAGCTAAAACGAACAACCCAACTCCCCAATTAATCGATTCCAATCTCTGCAAGCACTCGAGAATTCCAGAATTGGAAAGGCAAATCAGTTTTCACCTGAGCAATTGCGTCCTTGTCATCTTTGCAAGTGGCGAGAATCGAGTTTTTGGCGCGAAGGACCTCGTCGAAGGAAGCTCCCTCGGCGACACCGAGCAGCTTGAGCGCGCTCTCCAGCGACATCCCGTACGGCGCCGAATCGTCGGCTCTGGCGCTCGCGGCCAGAATCCTCCGCCGAGCCCCCGCGGGGGAAATCGATACCCTCCATGGCTGGCTGCGGAAGGACTGTATTGTCTTCAGAGCAGCGGGTATGGGCGCCGAAGGCGGCCGGAGGAAAGAAGAAGAGCCACAGCCGGGGGAGAAGCGGTGGCTGGGCCGGAGGGAGAGATTTGCAGCCATTTGTTGGAACGTTTCCTTTTTTTTTGTGGACAAAAACGATAGTCTTGAGAGAAAAGAGAGCAGTGGAAGGAAAGAATCCGTTCTGCTAAGTAAAGCGCAAAGGCAAAGCAACGGTGAGGAAGACAAAGATTAGAGAGAGATTTCGGTGGATTGGTGGGAATGATCTGCTGCCTCGCGGCGTAGGATAAGCGGGAATGACAGGAAATGATGGCCGTTCGATGGGTTGTCCATTCCTTTATGGATCTCCAGATTGATTAGAATTATTGGAACTAATCAATGCTCAACATGATTATATAAAATGTTTATCAAGAAGATTGTGTTCATGTTTGATAAAATATTTATATAGGATATCATGCTACATCAATTCAAGTAATAGGTGTAGAGCCAAAAATTACAACCACACACGATTATAAAAATGAACGTCAAGGTAATCAAGTATGGATACTAATGATTATAGATGCTACTATTAACATCCATAATTAGTTTTAACAATGATAAGGACCTGGGAAGACTTTACCATTTTGCTTGATAACTTCCATCTCCACGAAACCTCCGGTCCTCTTTCCAAAGGGAACAAAGGAAATGTCGCTTATCATATGTTACATCCTTTTCCTTATCATCTTGACACTAAACTTGGTTGCTCAAGCAAGGCACATTTGGGACTTGGGAGGCAAAAGTCAGTATGTTGTTTAACCTTTCCCAACCCCCACCTTGAACTTGGCATGATGCCAATCTTTCTTTTCTTGTCATTCGTCAAATCGTTGATCAACTTTACGGGGTTTGAAACGAACTCGACGAGTAACTATTGAGATGTTAATATCAACTTTTGCGCACGTTATGATTTAGGTTCATTAGATATTTTTCGAGACTAAGTTTACCGAATATTTCTAGGTCCTAACGACAGTCCGAGACAAGGAATCAAGCACTTGTTGTCTCTCCGAACAAGAGTTCATTATAAATTCTCTTTTGCCTTGAGAATCAATAGTGTATTTCTCAAAACTTGGATTCCCATTTAGGGTTTTGGTATCCTTACAAGTTACAAGAACATATTTAGCTTGGTTGATGAGATGGGGATCAAGCCCTTGCCCTTCACCAACTGGATGGAAATCTGCAGTTTACTCCATTAAAGGGTTGGAGGTAAAAATAAGAAATCGTTTGGGTTTCATCTGTAGCATGGATGTTACATCGTTTCTCAGTATTGAGTCGCAGAACTTGTCATTTATATTTTCAGTTGATTTGCTGGTTGAGTTTCTTGTATTCTAAGATCTTTCAGCAGCTTACAGCTCCAATGAGAAACTTGCTCCACACTCTAAGTATGGACTTCAATTGAGTCCTTGTGTCTTGTTTTCTCTTCCACCCCATTGAATTGCCAATCGTGCTAACTTTTTCGAGTAAAACACGTGAAGGTCAGCATGCCAAATCCAAGCAATGCTTGTTCCGCAACAGATGAGTCAATCAAATGGACGTTCTTCCACAATTGAATGCACTTCATGATGAGTACAAAAACCGTCCACAGAGTGTTTCGATTCGATTTCGTACGAAATTTCCAACCTTCTTCCTTCCTTCCCAAACAAGTCATATATTAGCCAGAATTCAGTAACCCTCTCTCTGACAAGCCCTTATTGCAGGTGGGTTTTCACTTTTCACCACTTGTTCTGGACTTGCATGATGATTTTCTTTATTTGGGGATGATAGTGACATAAAATAGAGTAGTGACAGGTAGGAAGTTCCTACATTGATCACATGCTGGGGGCCCAGATGCGCCTAGGTGGATAGGGCCAAGCCCATATCTCAAAAAATATTATTTACCGGTTGGGCCCTCCAAGCTGTGAATTAATTGGCCCAAATAAAGAAGCCCCCAATGAGAAGCGAGCACGTACTCGAATATCCACCACCACACCTGGCTTATTCTTTGTCGTCTTATCCATCATCAGCCCGACATAAAAACGACGGCGTATTGCCTACCTTCCCACTCCCTCGCTTTCTTCCTACTACGGTATAATACAATTTCAGTCACTTAATTTGTTTTATTAACCTTTTCGACGCTTCCAAAAGTTTTATTTCGTCGATCAGAAATAAAAAATCTCGTTTTAATTTTTAATTTGTTGGTTCTGGTCTCCCAATAGATCTCACTTCTCAGTTTTTATTCCTTCACATATCCTCTCTTCTTCCTCTCCTCTGCTCTCCCTGTTCGCGCTCTCTCTCTCACTCTTCCTCCGTGTACCAGATCACGAAAAGGTGAGTTCGCTTTTCCAGATCTTTCCTTTCTTCTCGGAGTTCTTTCATCGTCCGATCGCTTTGTTGTTGCCCGCCATTGGCGAGCTCTTCGTCGTTTCTCTGTGATTCGGATCATCAGTCGGTTAATCAGTTTCTCCACGGGTCGTTCAATTTCGTGTTTCTTCGTTGAATTCCGATCGAGGAAACTATCGCAGTGCGCTTATGGTGGGAGTGATTGAGGAAGGTATCGCAGTGCGCCAGTGTGTTTGGGGGACTTCGTTTTTGGCTTTGTTTGTTTCGATGGGGATGAGATTCCGATTTGGGTTGCGCTTTCTATTTTCTCGTCTTTGTTTGTCGGTTTGACGTATACCCGGTCTGTGTCTATGGCTTGTTTGAAATCAACTGCTAAAGGGGTGTGTGTGTGTGTGAGTTGAGTGAGCTGAGCGATGTTAGAAGATTTGGAGTTTCTTGGTGGAAAAGAGCTCTTCGATCGTTTTCACATTCTGGATTGGGTAGAGGTAGTTAGAGCGTCATCGATCATGTAATGGTTCTTTCGTTTAACTTGTTTTTTTTTCTTTCTATTGTATGTGCGTGATGAAGGTTGAAAATGGGCGCTCAAAACAATCTCGACATGGATGAGGGGACGCTGGAGATCGGAATGGGTATTGTCTTGAACTCCGCTCTAATTTTCATCATTTGGATAGAGAAAAGTTAAATTCTTTATTGATCATAGTTCCAATGAAGATACAATTAATGGTTATAATGAGGTCTATCTTGATGATGATCTGCTAATGAGAAACTTGGGACTTGGGTTTGTGCTGCTTTTTTCTGGATATTCACTCTGCTGCTTTAACGAATTGCAGAGTACAGGACGGTCTCTGGAGTTGCTGGGCCTCTTGTTATTCTCGAAAAAGTCAAGGTTGATGAATTTCTTAACTCTCAGCTATTCCAGCAGTTGCCTTGTTATTTTTATTTTTCTGATGCAGAAGCAGCCTTAAAGCTTTGTTTAACATTTGTGTTTGTCTCCTCTACTGCTTTAGGGACCCAAATACCAAGAGATTGTGAATATCAGATTGGGGGATGGGACAACCAGACGTGGTCAGGTTTTGGAAGTCGATGGCGAGAAAGCTGTTGTTCAGGTGATCTTATGCTTCTTTGGTACATCTTTTGATTCAGTTATCTGAGATGGAGCTATTAATCAGATTTCATCTGTCGAAGATAGTACTCAATGAATTTTGTCATATTTTAATTGCCAGGTTTTTGAAGGAACTTCTGGCATTGATAACAAGTTCACAACTGTGCAATTCACTGGAGAGGTATTATGATTTATTTATGTTGCTTTCTCATTGCAAATTACACTGACAGGCATATGAATCAAGTTTGTAGACCTACGATCATTGGTTATACCCTCTCGGGCTAAGCTGTATCATGCATATTACTTGCTAGAAAAATAAAAATAGATAGAGAAGCTATATGCCTTTGTAATTTGCAATTTAATCTAATTTTTCATAGATAGAGAAGCTAACTGTAATGATTTGTCAAAATTTTCAATTTAATCTAATTCTCTGCAATTTAGTTCCGGTGCTTGGGTCTTGTAGATTATTGTTTCAAGACAATTCCTTATTGGTCAAGTAACCAACCTTCATCCTTGCCTTGTTGTTTTAGGTTTTGAAAACTCCTGTCTCGTTGGATATGCTTGGTCGAATCTTCAATGGTTCCGGAAAGCCTATTGACAATGGCCCACCTATCTTGCCCGAGGCGTACCTGGATATTTCTGGTGAGTTATCTTTCTAGATGAGCATTCTTGGTTAAGCTTCAGCCTTTCATCCGTGACACTTAATATATTGTGCACAGGAAGTTCTATTAATCCTAGTGAAAGAACTTACCCTGAAGAGATGATTCAGACGGGAATTTCTACCATTGATGTCATGAATTCTATTGCTAGAGGACAAAAGATTCCTCTGTTTTCTGCTGCTGGTTTGCCCCACAATGAAATTGCTGCTCAGATTTGTCGTCAAGCTGGTTTAGTTAAGCGGTTAGAAAAGTCAGACAATCTTCTTGAGGTAAAGTGCAGCTTTCAATTGGCAAATATCAGTAAATATTAGGAGGCTCATTTTTTTCCTGATAAGAGGTTGGATGATGTTTTCTTCCTTGTGTTTGCTGCCTTCAAATTTCAGGGTAGTGGAGAAGACGACAATTTTGCTATTGTATTTGCTGCCATGGGTGTTAACATGGAAACTGCACAGTTTTTTAAACGTGATTTTGAGGAGAATGGGTCCATGGAGAGAGTTACTCTTTTCCTGAACTTGGTAAGTTCTGCTGGTGTTTGGTCTACTAGTCGGTATTGTCTTTTGTACCACAGTACTTTTGTCATAGTGATTTGACCTTCAGAAAATGCCTGAGCTGAAATCTTGTTTACTTGTTCTCTTACAGGCAAATGACCCTACAATTGAGCGTATTATCACACCCCGTATTGCTCTTACTACTGCAGAGTATTTGGCATATGAATGTGGGAAGCATGTCCTTGTCATTCTTACCGATATGAGTTCTTATGCTGATGCCCTTCGTGAGGTAAGATAATAATAACCATCGTTGTGACAGTTTATTGTGAACTTTTCCATATGAATCAGCATCTCCTAGTTGTTACTTTATCTGGAAACAAATCTATTTCAGTACCTTTTGTTTTATTTCACTGCTAAGTTATAGTGAGTCTTCTGGAATAATGATGCCAGATTGCTGAATGGTAGTGCAGGTCTCAGCTGCCAGAGAAGAAGTGCCTGGAAGACGTGGATATCCTGGGTATATGTACACTGATTTGGCTACAATCTATGAGCGTGCTGGACGTATTGAAGGACGCACTGGGTCCATCACACAGATTCCGATTTTAACTATGCCCAATGATGGTAATAATGCACTCTGATTTACACTAGAAATGTTCTGCAAATGCCCCAAACTTTCATTCGAAAGATAGTTACATTCAATTTCTCTTATGAACCAGATATCACACATCCAACTCCCGATCTTACTGGGTATATCACTGAGGGGCAAATATACATTGATAGGCAGCTCCACAACAGACAGGTAAGATGTTTTTGGACGTCTTAGATCATTAAACGGTGTTTATGATTTGACTTGAAATAGAACAATAGATCCCATTATTTATCGTATCAACAACGATAGCCCTTTTTGGCAAATGCTTAAAAATGCAAGTATAATGATCAAAGTTCTGCTTGTCAATATGATTCTCAATGAGGTTTTCTGCTACTGGATTAAGCCTTTTATCTGTTTGAATTGTGCAGATCTATCCTCCGATCAATGTTCTTCCATCTCTGTCTCGTCTGATGAAGGTAAGTCCCCACGCTCTTCTCTACATCCTGGATGGAGAACAACGTGTGCTGGCGTATTTAGTATAGATATATTCTAAACGGTGTCATTGACTGATGTGGCAGAGTGCCATTGGTGAGGGAATGACTCGTCGAGACCACTCTGACGTCTCCAATCAGGTTTCTATACTTCAAATGTTCCATGGAACATTCCTTGTAGCTCCATTCTTTACTATTTTATCTAACCCTGATTCCATTTCATCAATTTCCAGTTGTATGCAAATTATGCCATTGGAAAGGATGTTCAGGCCATGAAAGCCGTGGTGGGAGAGGAAGCACTTTCATCAGAAGACTTGGTCTGTAGTCACTAACTGCCCCTCCTGTATTTCATTGATCTAATTTCTTTACTCCACTCACTCCCGTACTAAAAGCGATCATTTATCTCGTGTGTTAAAACAGCTGTACTTGGAGTTCTTGGACAAGTTCGAGAGGAAGTTTGTTGCCCAAGGAGCTTACGACACCCGCAATATCTTCCAATCGCTCGACTTGGCATGGACGCTGCTCCGCATCTTCCCTCGTGAGCTGCTCCACCGTATACCCGCCAAAACTCTGGATGCATTCTACAGCCGGGACTCGACCAACTGAGCCCCCACTCAACTCTTTCCTATACTTGTTTTTGGATCGAGCACCACGATTGCCCTGCAGCAACATATTCCGAGAAGCAAGAGTAATAAAAGCAAAATTTGGGTCTGAAGCTTTTGTTGTGCCAGTTTATATATTTGTCTTGCTTATATAGCACTCTTCATAACGACTGTTTTACACTCCCCCTGTTTTGTAATTTATTTATTCTGCTATTAGTTGGCGATGCCCAGTTTGTGGCTTATGGGACATGATTTATTTTTTCAGTAGTTTTAAAGAGAGTCAGGGCGCCGGCTGTTAGATAGTGGAAACCCCCCTTTCCATGAGACGCTTCTCTTTTCTCTTGCCTGCCCCTTCTTTCTCGTGTAAGCTGAACTGGCAAATGGATTCTTTTTGGACATTTTTTGTAAGAGCACTGAGCCCCTTTTTCTATCCTTACTGCGTTTTTTATTTCTGTTTCTAGATGGTTGTCAGCATTAGTGTTGCCAATTTGCAGGAGCATTGCCATCGTCCATGGCTACACCACGCATTTACGCTTGGCAAATGGGTCGAGTTTGTAGATAGTTGATGTTGCTGCTCAGTTCTACCAGAGTTACTAAATGAGTGTACTGATGCGAAGAAACCAAATCGTGAGATGGATTGAAGTTCCTAGACCAGTTCTCAAAATTCTGGAGGTTTAGATATGAAAGTGGAGATGCAACCCTCCATCCACTACTTGTTAGTGAAGCTAGATGGAGCATAAGACCGATGGAAGCAAACATAATGAATGTATTGAAAGTGGAATCCTGCATTCGGTATCAGATTTACCCTGCTTTTGATGTTCGTACAACTTTGGGCAATACAACGGAACTAAGATCGCCAGGATAAGGAGTCCACAAGCCTAACCCACCTCTACTCTCCTTCATGCTGCTACCCTTCCCCTTAAACTCGCTCAAACTCTTCACCCACTCTACCTTCGACGAATGCTCCCTCGTGTGTGGATGCAGCACAAACAGCGAGTTGTACTCACAGTTCGGAAACATGAAGTGCTTGAACGGTTTGACCCCTAGCTTGTGCACCACGTAACCAAAGCTCAGCTGATCTCTCGGAGTGAACAGATGGACCTCGTTGAACCACAAGCAGCTGAAAAGGTTGCTGAGTGCAGTGTGTTCCCTGATGATCACTGCTCCTTCGGGTACATCTGTCTCGTAAAAAGGAAAGAGAACTCGTAAAATGTAGGTACCAGTGGTTAGAGGAACATGTAATATTCACAAGAGGCTGCATAGCTGAAGTTAGCTCATGAAACGAGCATCAACGAGGACATAGGGTCTTGAGAAGTGTAATTAGCATATCTTACCACTGATGGTGCCTGACTTGGTGCTCCAGGGTTCTATCCCTTCGTATCTGTAGATTTTCATGTGCAGATCAATGAGCGGCCGGGCATATCTTTTCCTCCGTTTGTTTGCATCAGCTTCCTCGTATACATTTCTATGGTGCTTATGTTGAGCAATAGCAAACGTGTTCTCCCCCCTCCACAAGTATCTAAGCATATGAAAAGGTTATTAAATTAATGAAGTAATAAATTGCACAATCCATTTGGAAGAAGTTGTAGCTTCTTCTGACAGTCAAATCATGGACAGCAACCCAAAATATGATTCACTTGGAGGATTTACTACAGCATGGATTCTTAAATAGGAAATAAAGTAGGCGTGGTGAATTACCTTTCCAGTAATAGCAGAGGATCAACAATAAGCTCCATTTTACCATCTATCCAAATGCTGTATTGAGCTTGAGGGAACAATCTGTGGGTTAAAATTTTGGGGACTTTGCCATTCCTTCTGGGTTCATCATATGGCGGGTTCTTCAACGGGATAAGACGCCAGATTCCAACCCATTGACCGCCTTTACTATCCGTCCTAATAGTGGTGTTTTCCTTAATGAACTCGAGAGACACCTCATCCACCACCATAAGAAAACAGAAGAGCTCCTTAGAACGATGGCTTATGTTAGAGGGCTGGTGGGGCACATCATAACCGTCGAAAATTCCAGAAGCAACAACAAATCTACACTTCTTGACATACTCAATGTCATTGGGGTCCATTTCTGCACCACCGTTACGTATGAATCCACAATGAACCTAAAATGAAGAAAGCACAGAAACAAGAATAAACTAAATCCATAACATCTAGAGAGTAGGAAAGCACTAGCTACTTTAAACAAACATCGACACCAGCACAAAGCAAACTGCTTCATCTCTATGCTTACTTACTTTCATGGAGGGTTTTATTTTGAAACTCTCCTCTCTTTCTGCCCAGCTTATGAGTCCTCCAAATAAAGGTGATGACGATCCATTATTGAGAGGCTCGTCATCATCCATAACATACGAAAGACGGGTGATTATACTGTCCGAAGTCTTTCCCTCGGGAATAACTATCTTGTTGGGGTCATCTACAACAGGTATTGGGCAACCTAGACGTTCGGAAGAGCAGCATCAGTACATAAACTACGATAAGCTTATAAAGATCATAGCACATGAAAGGAAGAGCAATTGCTAGTCTTACGATGCTGTTGCTGTACAAAACCCCATGTGTTTAAAAGGCCGTATACCTTGCTTTCTTTGTTACAAATAGCTGCACATCAAAACAGAACACAGTAGCAACCCATTAGGCCTCAGATGGAGAAGAGCTGCTAGTGCTGCAACTCGTTAATGCGCATTCAAGTTGCAGTTTCTACCCTCCAATATGATTCTCTGGATTATTGGAATAGCTAACGATGGCTAGTGTAGCTGGAAAAGGAAGTAACACAACCAAGTGAAACTCTACCTGGGAACTCTACTTTAGACCTCATAAACTATCCAGATAATGATTAGTCTTATGTACAACCCTCAAAAACCCACTTCAAAAGTAAGGCATTCAGCATTCAACCAATATAAATCAGCAGAGAGAGAAAAGATTTCACATCTTGAGACAAATGGATACATATACATACCTGAAAAGAAATCGTAAGAAGATTGACAAGACCAGACATGAAACAACAGTACAATGAGAATGAGCAGCATCCAAACGATCCCTGCTACGAACACCAGCCGAACGAACCCTCTCTTCCACACCAATTTGATCGGATAATCAGCGGCCACTTTCCCAGGCGAAAAGAACCCATCTTGGTCATCTGAGTCGCCGCCAAAACACCAAGAAAACAAAGTTACTAACCTTTTTTCTCTCCCAGAAAAAACCGAATTGAAGGAAAAGAACCCTCCCATATGGAAAGTGCAAGTGCTGAAGTGAGATTCGTTCATTCCTTTTTTTTTTTTTACCTCTGGAAATAGGGATTTGGTTGCTCCTTTCTCCTCTCCGGTTCGAGCGCAAAGCTACTGACCGAGGCACCTCGCTCTCCATTTGTATAACCCACTCGCCGGATCTTCTGATGCCAAGGAGTTAAGTCATCATTAGCTCCAATTTAGGATGCCATTTTCGTGCAGACGGAGTTGTGAATTTGAGTTCCAGATCTTGGCGAAGAAGAGTGAAGAAATAAAGCTTTTGATCTGTGACTGTGGTCTGTGAGTGCTAGAGGAAAGAAGAAAAAAAAAACGATTTTTTTATTTCATAGCGGCAACTGGCGGGTTTAATGAAAGAGGCTCTTAACGACGCCGTCTCGATTTTAACTCTTAATAAAAAATAAAATAATCGAGTGAAATCGATTAATCGGACGCACTATAATAATTAGTAATTAATAAATCAGGCTGCTTAATTTTTCCGAAATCCAGCCGGCAAAGGGAAAGTAAGTAATAAAAGGGCAGAGGAAGGCGAGTTTCTCAAAATTTCCCGACGATACAGTTCCGACTTCCGAGCATAGAATTACGGCGCTAGGGTTTCTCCGGCGCTTCAGGCCTCAGGAGTAGAAGAAAGAACATTCCGTCGATTCTAAATCGAGAGAACTAATCCCCCATTGATTAATTCTGTACCACACCCAGCCGCCATGGACCTGCAAATCGACCACTACAAGGTTTTGGGGCTGCCGTCAGGAGAAGAAGGAATCAGGCTCACCGAGACGGAAATCTCCAGAGCGTTCAAACAGAAGGCCCTACAATTGCACCCCGACAAGAACCCCGACGATCCGCACGCGAAACAGAGCTTCCAGAATCTGCAATTCTCGTACGGGATCCTGAAAGACGGCAGGTCTCGCGAGCTGTACGACAATCAAATTCGGGCCAGGACGAATCAGCAGCAGCAGCAGGAAGAGGTCCGCCGCCGGGCTCGAGAGGAGGAGATCGAGCGGGAGTGCGAGCGGATGAGGAGGATGATGATGGAGGAAGAAGAGGAAGAAGCTCGCCGCCGCCGAGCTGAACAGGTTGAATCGGAGCGGAGAAGAAGTTGGATGGAGGGGAAAGAAGTGGATAAGCAGCAGCAAGAAGCACGCCGCCGCGGAGCTGAACAGGGGAAATCAGAGCGGAGTCGTTGTTGGGTGAATGGGAAAGAAGTGGACAATTACCTCCGGCAACAGCAGCAAGAGGCCCGCCGCCGGGCTCGAGATGAGGAGCTCGAGCAGGTGTGCGAACGATTGAGGAGGAGGATACGAGCGAGGAGGAGGATGATGGTGGAGGAAGAAGCTTGCCGCCGAGCTGAACAGGGGAGATCAGAGCGGAGAAGCTGGATGGAGGAGAAAGAAGGGCCGCGGCGAGCTGAAGAGGAGGCACAGGGGAGGGGGAGGAGGATGAATGCGGAGGAAGAAGCCCTGCGCCGATCTCGACAGGATCTGGAGTCGTCCGACGGCGGACTTGATGAGCTACTTGCGCGGCTGCGAGGGCTGAATGTGCGCGGCGGCGGAGGAAAGGAGGCGATGTAGTCCCCGGAGATTTCGGATACTTTTTGAAATATTTTCTAGTGCATAAGCAGGAGTATTAAGTATAGTGTCATTCCAATTCAATTCTCAATGGATTTCAAATTTGTGTTGAATTAATTAGCAAGAAAATCTGGCACTGAATTTGGATCTTTGGTAAGAAAAAACATTTGGGTTATCTTATTCCTCAACTGATCTCTATTGTGTTTAGTAACTTTTTTATTTTTTTATTAATGATAACGAGTGTTGATGGGTCGATTTTCCTATATATTTATATTGATATTTCTTTCGGAGTTATTATAACATCTTATTCACTTATTATGAAGTTCATTTATGTTATTTGGTGATAATTCATGTAATAGTTGTGAATATTAACTTAGATGGAAACCCAAAGTGTTTCTTTGACATATTTTAAAATTCAAAATGAATTTTACAATGTGGTGAGTAATAAATAATAACATACGTGAATAAACACAAGATTACATGAATCAACATTACGGTTTGTTTAAATAACGAGCACTATTGCGTGAATAAACGCCAATGTTTCATAAATAAACGCAAAATTGTGTGAATAAACACACAAATTGATTGGGAACGTGTTAGGATGGTTACTAAATTTCTAGTAGCCACATTGGCAACATCAATATCCACCATCCATTTTTTTCTTTTTCCTATTTTTTTAATCTCACGATTATGATTGCTCGAGGATAATTTTGGAAACAAAAAATAAACCACACTGGATTATTCTATATATACACAAACCCTAATTCTACCCTCTTCAACCCACGCTCGCCGGCCGCCTCTCCCCTTCCTCGTTGTCCCTCCCTCTCTCCCCCTGCCATCCCGCCGTCCCTCTCTTCCTCCTCCACACCTCCCTCCTTCCTCCCCTCCCCCCGCCGACCCCCATCCCACCCCATCCCCCCCCCCCCCCCCCCCCCGACCCACCCCTCTCCCCTAACCACCCCACCCCTCCCCCCCTTCGTCCATGCTCTCTCTCTCTCTCTCTCTCTCTCTCTCTCTCTCTCTCTCTCTCTCTCTCTCTCTCTCTCTCTCTCTCTCTCTCTCTCTAGCAGGGAGGATTCGATGGACAAGCGACCTGAACCGCAGAGGTCGTCAAAACAATCGACGGCGTTGTTCATCCTTTTATTTCCGACCCTCTCACTTCAATGGTATTGTTTTTGTTGCATTGGTATTGATTTTGTTGTATATGTATTATTTTTGTTGCATTGGTATTTATTATCATGTAATGGTAGTAATTTGCATGTACTGGTATTGATTAAATCTGCAACGGTATTGATTTTTTGTGAAATGGTATAGATTTATATTGGTAGATTGTTTATATTGGTAGTTTTCGTGTAATGGTATAGATTTATTTCTGTAATGGTATTGATATTTTTCAAAATGATAGTGGTTGTCTAATGGATTGGTAGTGATTTCGTGTTTTTTTTTTCTTTTGCAGAAAGATTGAGAAAAATAAGGAAAGAGGATCTGGCTGGAGATTATGGAAGTGAGAGAAAGAAAGAGAATTGTAATTAATAGATTCTTGTAACTACCTAAAATGTAATTTATTAAAAAAATTAATTAATACAATTTCTTTTTCATACCCAATTTACCCTTAGTAACCACCTGTCCCAAATTGATTGAGCTTACATCCCAAATTGGGCGACATCTTCCTTTCTTCTTGCATGAGAAAGTTAACCACACTTCTTCTTCCTCATCACGATTTCTAATTAGGCGAAGCACATTAGCAAAATCGCTGAATCAGAGTTTAAGTTGAACAGACCCGTTTATGTAAAACGCAAAACCTTTTTTGTAGGGAAAATATCGAATTGTCGGCCGTAATAATACGAAGAAGTAAAAAAGCTTTCCGAAATCCAATCGGATTAGGAAAGGTAAGTAATTAGCTTCGAATATAAAAAGGCAGGGGAAAGCGAGAAATCGAACAACACTTCCCCACTGAGTTTTTTTTTCCGGCAACTTCCACAGCGCCGTTTCCACTATCCTAAATCGATCTATCTGCGTATCGCCGTCGAGATCTCAGCAGTAGTCAGATCGGAATTAGAAAGAACAGAGCGCCATCGATTCTCAATCGATCGAGAGAGAATCATCGCTGCCCTAATTTGACTAATCCTGTAGCATCGATCCCGGCGGCATCCCGCCATGGACACAGGAATCGACCACTACAAGGTCTTGGGGCTGCGGTCGTGGGAGGAAGGCCTCAAACTCTCGCGGAAGGACATCGCCAGAGCATTCAAACTCAGGGCGCTGAAATTGCATCCCGACAAGAGGCCCGACGATCCGAACGCGAAGCAGAAGTTTCAGAAGCTGAGCGATTCGTACGAAGTTCTCAAGGACGAAAATCTTCGCAGGAGGTTCGACGATCTCGTCCGGATCAAGATTGCGAACCGGCGGGAAGCGGCACGCCGGCGGCGTGCTCGAAATATGGCGGCGGCGGCCTCTGACGCGAAGAAGAATGGCGGCGCTCCTCCTCCGGCAGGTTCCCAGAGGGAAAAAGCAGCAGGAGAAGGGGGAGCTAGTATCAGTAGCTTGTTGGAGGAAGCGTACAAGGTTGTTCTCAGAGATAGTAGCAACTGCCCCTGTTGTGCTGACAGAAGGAGACGAGCTGAAGAAGAGAGAGAGTGGGATTTCGTGTACTAGTAGATTAGTAGTAGTACAAAAAGTTTGGGATTTTTTGTTGATAGTTTCAAAACCATGTATTTGGGAGACTAATAATATAGTTGAACTAATTTTTGGTTATGTTACAAGCAAGATATGTATTCACTATTTGATCATTATTCGCTTCTATGCGGTTATACGTAATGTCGTAAACGCTTGTTGTCATTTGATTTGTGCGGATTTACTTTCGGATGACATTTTCGTAATTTTTGGGCATTTTTTTCGAGAGGACATTTTTCTTGGATTTTGAAGGCTAAAGATCACAGAAGCGGCACGGGGCTATTCTTCACCGATGATTAAGTCCATCAAACACCGATTTGGACAGATTTTTTCCGGGCCCATTTTTGGCAGATTCCAAAGGGATATTATCACAGATTTCGAGTGATTTTTGTGAAATGTCATTTTCTTCCGATTTTCAAGGCCAGAGATCACGGATTCGGCCCAAGGTTGTTCTCTACCGATGATGAAGTCTATTGATCCTATTCTCCACCGATGTTTAAGCCTGTTAGGTACCGATTTGAGTGGATTTATTTTCGGATGACATTTTCGTAATTTTTGGGTAATTTTTTTCGAAATACCATTTTTCTTGGATTTTGAAGGCTACAGATCACGGAATCGCCCTAGGGCTATTCTTCACCGATGATTTAGTCCATCAAGCAACGATTTGGGTGGATTTCTTCCGGGGCAATTTTCGGCAGATTCCAAAGGGGTACCATCACAGATTTCAGGTGATTTTTCTGAAATGTCATTTTCTTCCAATTTTGAAGACTAGAGATCACAGATTCGGCCCAAGGTTGTTCTCCACCGATGATGAAGTCTATTGATCCTATTATCAACCGATGCTTAATCCTGTTAGGCACCAATTTGGGCGGATTTATTTTCGGATGATATTTTCGTAATTTTTTGGCGATTTTTTTCGAAAGGCCATTTTCTTGGATTTCGAAGGCTACAGATCACGGAATCGCCCTGAGGCTATTTTTCACCGATAATTAAGTCCATCAAGCACTGATTTGGGCAGATTTCTTCCGGGCCATTTTTGGCAGATTACAAAGAGGTACCATCACAGATTTCGGGTGATTTTTCCGAAATGTCATTTTCTTCCGATTTTGAAGGCTAGAGATCACGGATTCGGCCCAAGGCTGTTCTCCACCGATGATGAAGTCTATTGATCCTATTCTCCACCGATGATGAAGTCTATTGATTCTATTATCCACTGATACTTAAGCCAGTTAGGCACCGATTTAGGCAGATTTATTTTCAGATGCCATTTTCATAATTTTTAGAGCGATTTTTTTCGAAAAGCCATTTTTCTTGGATTTTCAAGACTAGACCACGCAATCGTCCTGAGGCTATTCTTCCTCAATGATTAAGTCCATTAAGCACCGATTTAGGAGGATTTCTTCCGGTCCCATTTTTGACAGATTCCAAAGGAGTACCATCCCAGATTTAAAGTTATTTTTTCGAAGTGTCATTTTCTTCCAATTTTGAAGGCTAGAGATCACAGATTCGGCCCAAGGTTGTTCTCCACCGATGATGAAGTCTATTGATTCTATTCTCCAACAAAGCTTAAGCCGACTAGGCACCAATTTGGGCGGATTTAATTTCGGATGACATTTTCATAAATTTTTGGGCAATTTTCTTGGATTTTGAAGGCTGCATATCACGGAATCGGCTTCAGGCTATTCTTCACCTTGATTTAGTCCATCAAGCACCGATTTGGGCGGATTTCTCCAGGGCCCATTTTAGGCAGATTCCAAAAGGGTACCATCACAAATTTCGGGTGATTTTTCCGAAATGTTATTTTCTACCGATTTTGAAGGTTAGAGATCACGGATTCGGCCCATGGGTGTTCTCCATCGATGATGAAGTCTATTATCCGATTCTCCACCGATGCTTAAGTCCGTTAGGCACCGAATTGGGCAGATTTATCTTCAGATTGCATTTTCGCAATTTTTTGGGTGATTTTTTCGAAATATCATTTTTCTTGGATTTCGAAGGCTACAAATCACGGAATCACCCCGAGGCTATTCTTCACCGATGATTAAGTTCATCAAACAGCGATTTGGGCGGATTTCTTCCGTGCTCATTTTTTACATATTCCAAAGGGGTACTATCACAGATTTCAGGTGATTTTTCCGAAATGTAATTTTCTTCCGATTTTGAAGGCTAGAGATCACGGATTCGGCCCAAGGGTGTTCTACACCGATGATGAAGTCTATTGATCTCATTATCCGCCGATGCTTAAACCCGTTAGGCAACGATTTGGACAGATTTTATTCGGATGACATTTTCATAATTTTTTGGGAGATTTTTTGGGAAAGGCCATTTTTCTTGGGTTTTGAAGGCTACAGATAACGGAATCGGTCTGAGGCTATTCTTCACCGAAGATTAAGTCCATCAAGCACCGATTAGGGAGGATTTCTTGCAGGCCCATTTTTGGCAGATTCCAAAGGGGTACCATCACAGCTTTCGGTTGATTTTTCCGAAATGTAATTTTCTTCCGATCTTGAAGGCTAGAGATCACGGATTCAGCCCAAGGCTATTCTCCACTGATGATGAAGTCTATTGATCCTATTATCCAGCGAAGCTTAAGCCTGTTAGGCACCAATTTGGGCGTATTTATTTTCGGATGGTATTTTCGTAATTCTCTTGGCGATTTTTTTTCTAAAGGTAATTTTTCTTGAATTTTGAAGGCTACAGATCACTGAATCGGCCTGAGGCTATTCTTCACCGATGATTAAGTCCATCAAGCACCGATTTGGGTGGATTTCTTCCGGACCCATTTTTGGCAGATTCCAAAAGGATACCATCACAGGTTTCGGTTGATTTTTCCGAAATGTCATTTTCTTCTGTTTTTTATGGCTAGTGATCATAGATTCGGCCCAAGGCTGTTCTCCAACGATGATGAAGTCTATTGATCCTATTCTCCACTGATGCTTAAGCCCGCTAGGCACCAATTTGGGCGGATTTATTTTCGGATGTTTTTTGCGCTATCTTTTTCGAAAGACTAATTTTCTTAGATTTTGAAGGCTACAGATCATGGAATCGGCTTGGAGCTATTCTTCACCGATGATTAAGTCCATCAAGCTCCGATTTGGGCGGATTTCTTCCGGGCCCATTTTTGGCAGATTCCAAAGGTGTATAATCACAAATTTCGGGTGATTTTTCCGAAATGTCATTTTCTTTCGATTTTGAAGGCTAGAGATCACGGAAGCCCAAGGCTGTTCTCCACTGATGATGAAGTCTATTGATCCTATTCTCCAGGGAAGCTTAAGCCCGTTAGGCACCGATTTGAGCGGATTTAATTTCAGATGGCATTTTCGTAAATTTTTGGGCAATTTTTCCTAAAGGCAATTTTTCTTTTGGATTTTGAAGCTTACAGATCTTGGAATCGGTCTGAGTCTATTCTTCACCGATGATTAAGTCCATCAAGCACCGATTTGGGCGGATTTCTTCGAGGCCCATTTTTGGCATATTACAAAGGGGTACCCATCACAGATTTCGGGTGATTTTTCCGAAATGTCATTTTCTTCCGATTTTGAAGGATGGAGATCACGAATTCGGCCAATGGCTGTTCTCCACCGATGATGAAGTCTATTGATCCTATTCTCCACCGATGCTTAAGCCCGTTAGCACCGATATGGGGAGATTTATTTTCAGATGGTATTTTCGTAAATTTTTGGCAATTTTTTTTGAAAGGTCATTTTTCTTCTTTTTTCAAGGCTATAGATGACGGAATCGGCCTGAGGCTATTCTTCATCAATGATTAAGTCCAACAAGCACTGATTTGGGCGGATTTCTTCTCGACCCATCTTTGGCAGATTCCAAAGTGGTACCATCGTAGATTGAAGGTTATTTTTTTGAAATGTCATTTTCTTCCAATTTTGAAGGCTAGAGATCACGGATTCGGCCCAAGGTTGTTCTCCATAGATGATGAAGTCTATTGATTCTATTCTCCAGCAAAGCTTAAGCCCGTTAGGCACCTATTTGGGCGTATTTATTTAAAGATGACATTTTCGTAATATTTTGGGCAATTTCTTTGAAAGCCATTTTTCTCGGATTTTGAAGGGTACAGATCTCGTAATTGGTCTGGGGCTATTCTTCACCATTGATTAAGTCCATCAAGCACCGATTTAGACGAATTTCATCTGTGCCCATTTTTGGCAGATTCCAAAGGGATACCATTACAGATTTCGGGTTATTTTTTCGAAATGTCATTTTCTTACGATTTTGAAGGCTAGAGATCACAGATTTGGCCTAAGGCTGTTCTCCGCCGATGATGAAGTCTATTGATCCTATTATCAACCGATGCTTATGCCCGTTAGGCACAAATTTAGGCGTATTTATTTTTGGATGACATTTTGTAATATTTTGGGCAATTTTTTTCGAAAGGCCATTTTTCTTGGAGTTTGAAGGCTACAGATCACGGAGTCGGCTTGGGACTATTCTTCACCGATGATTAAGTCCATTAAGCACTGATTTCGGCGGATTTCTTAAGGGGCCACTTTTGGCGGATTCCAAAGGGGTACCATCATAGATATCGAGTGATTTTTCTGAAATGTCATTTTCTTTCAATTTTGAAGGCTAGAGATCACGGATTCGGCCCAAGGTCTGGGTCAATTTTTTGCAGATTCTAAAGAGTTACTATGACAAATTTCGGGCGATTTTTCCGAAATGCCATTTTCTTTCGATTCTGGAGGTTAAAGATCACGAAATCAGGTCGTGGCTATTCTCCACTGATAAAGAAGTCTATTGAGCCTATTCTCCATTGATGATAAGCCCATTATGCACCGATTTGGCCAATTTATTTTCAGATGACATTTTCGTAATTATTTGGGCTACGAAAGGCCATTTTCTTTTAATATTGAAGGCTACAGATCACAGATTCGGCCTGAGGCTATTCTTCAACGATGATTAAGTCTATTAAGCACCGATTTGGGCGGATTTATTCCTGGTCAATTTTTGGCAGATTCCCAATGGCGGATTTCAGGCGATTTTTCAGAATTGCCATTTTCTTTCGATTCTGCAGTCTAAAAATCACGGAATCAAGTCGAGGCTATTCTCCACCGAAAATGAAGGCTAAGTATCCTATTCTCCACGGATGATAAGCCCATTAAGCACCGATTTGGGCCAATTTATTTTCAGATGACATTTTTGTAATTTTTTTGGGCGACGAAATGCCATTTTCTTTGGATATTGAAGGCTTAAGATCACGGATTCGGCCTGAGCCTATTCTTCAACGATGATTAAGTCCATTAAGGAGCGATTTGGGCGGATTTATTTCACATCAATTTTTGGCAGATTCCCAAGGGGTACCATCACAGATTTCGGGCGATTATTCCGAAATGCTATTTTCTATCGATTCCGGAGGCTAAAGAACACGGAATCAGGCCGTGGCTATTCTCCATTGATAATGAAGTCTAATGATCCGATTCTCCACGGATGATAAGCCCATTAAGCACCAATTTGTGCCAATATATGTTTTGATGGCATTTTCATAATTTTTTGGGCGACGAACGAACATTTTCATCGGATATTGAAGGCTACAGATGACGGATTTGGCCTGAGGCTTTTTTCAACTATGATTAAGTCCATTAAGCACCGATTTGGGCGGATTTATTGGGGGTCAATTTTGGGCAGATTCCAAAGGGGGTACCATCACAGATTTCGGGCGATTTTTCCGAAATGTCATTATCTTTCGATTCTGGATGCTAAAGATCACGGAATCAGGCCGAGGCTATTCTCCACCGATAACGAAGTCTATTGATCCTATTATCCACGGATGATAAGCCCATTAAGCACCGATTTGAGCCAATTAATTTTCGTATGGCATTTTTGTAATATTTTTGGTCGACGAAAGGCCATTTTCTTTGTAATTGAAGGCTACAAATCACGGATTTTGCTTGAGGATCTTCTTCAACGATGACTAAGTACATAAAGCAAAGATTTTGGCGGATTTATTCTGGGTCAATTTTTAGCAGATTCCAAAGAGGGTACCATCATAGATTTCAGGCAATTTTTCCGAAATGCCATTATCTTTCGATTCTAGAGGCTAAAGATCACGGTATCAGGCCAAAGCTATTCTCCAACGATAATGAAGTCTATTGATCCTATTCTCCACAGATTATAAGCTAATTAAGCATCGATTTGGGCCAAATTTATTTTCGGATGACATTTTCATAATATTTTAGGCGACGAAAGACCATTTTCATTGGATATTGAAGGCTACATATCACGGATTCGGCCTGAGGCTATTCTTCAACGATGATTAAGTCCATTAAGCACCGATTTTGGCGGATTTATTCTGGGTCAATTTTGGGCAGATTCCAAAGGGGTACCATCACAGATTTCGGGCAATTATTGCAAAATGTCATTATCTTGCGATTTTGGAGGCTAAAGATCACGGAATTAGGCCGAGGCTAATCTCCACCGATAATGGAGTCTATTGATACTATTCTCCACGGATGATAAGCCCATTAAGCATTGATTTGAGCTAATTAATTTTCGGATGACATTTTCGTAATTTTTATAGGCGACGAAAGGCCATTTTCTTTCTAATTGAAGGCTACAAATCACGGTTTTTGCTTGAGGCTCTTCTTCAACGATGACTAAGTCCATTAAGCAAAGTTTTGGGCGGATTTATTCTGGGTGAATTTTTAGCAGATTCCAAAGGGGTACCATCATAGATTTCAGGCGGTTTTTCCGAAATACCATTATCTTTCGATTCTAGAGGCTAAAGATCACGGTATCAGGCCAAAGCTATTCTCCAACGATAATGAAGTCAATTGATCCTATTCTCCATGGATGATAAGCCCATTAAGCACCGATTTGGGCCAATTTATTTTCGGATGGCATTTTCGTAATTTTTATAGGCGGCGAAATGCCATTTTCTTTGGATATTGAAGGCTAAAGATCTCGGATTCGCCCTGAACATATTCTTCAACGATGATAAAGTCCATTAAGCACCGATTTGGGCGGATTTATTTCTGGTCAATTTTTGGCAGATTCCCAAGGGCATAACAGATTTCGGGCGATTATTTCGAAATGCTATTTTCTATCGATTTTGGAGGCTAAAGATCACGGAATCAGGCCGTGGCTATTCTCCACTGATAATGAAGTCTATTGATCCGATTCTCCACGGATGATAAGCCCATTAAGCACCGATTTGGGCCAATTTATTTTTGGATGACATTTTCGTAATTCTTTGGGCGACGAAAGGATATTTTCTTCGGATATTGAAGGCTACAGATCACGGATCGGCCTGAGGCTATTCTTCAACGATGATTAAGTCCATTAAGCACCAATTTGGACGGATTTATTCCGTGTCAATTTTTGGCATATTCCAAAGGGGGTACCATCACAGATTTCAGGCGATTTCTCCAAAATGCCATTTTCTTTCGATTCTGGAGGCTAAAGATCAAAGAATCAGGCCGGGGCTATTCTCTACCGATAATGATGTTTATTGATCCTATTTTCCACGGATGATAAGCCCATTAAGCATCGATTTGGGCCAATTTATTTTCGGATGCATTTTTGTAATTTTTTTGGGCAACGAAAGGCCATTTTTCTTTGGATATTGAAGGCTACAAATCACGCATTCTGCTTCAGGCTATTCTTCAACGATGACTAAGTCCATTAAGCAACGATTTGGGAGGATTTATTCCAGGTCAATTTTTAGCAGATTCCAAAGGGGTACCATTGTAGATTTCAGGCGGTTTTTCCGAAATGCCATTTTCTTTCGATTCTAGAGGTTAAAGATCACGGAATCAGACCGAGGCTATTCTCCACCGATAATGAAGTCTATTGATCCTATTCTCCCCCGGATTATAAGCTAATTAAGCACCGAATTTGGCAAATTTATTATCGAATGACATTTTCGTAATTTTTTGGGCGACGAAAGACCATTTTCCTTGGATATTGAATGCTACAGATCACGGATTCGGCCTGAGGCTCTTCTTCAACGATGATTAAGTCCATTAAGCACCAATTTGGATGGATTTATTATGGGTCAATTTTTGGCAGATTCGAAAGGTGTACCATCACATATTTCAGACTATTTTTCCGAAATGCCATTTTTTTCGATTCTGGAGGCTAAAGATCACGGAATAATGCCGAGGCTATCCTCCACAGATATTGAAGTCTATTAATCCTATTCTCCATGGATGATAAACCCATTAAGCACCGATTTGGGCCGATTTAATTTCTGATGTCATTTTTAAATTTTTTTTGGGCGACGAAATCTCATTTTATTTGGATATTGAAGGCTAAAGATCACAGATTCGACCTGAGCCTATTCTTCAACGACGATTAAGTCCATTAAGGAGCTATTTGGGAGGATTTATTCCGGGTCAATTTTTGGCAGATTCTTAAGGGGTACTATCACAGATTTCGGGCGATTATTCCGAAATGCTATTTTCTATCAATTCTGGAGGCTAAAGATCATGGAATCAGGCAGTGGTTATTCTCCACTGATAATGAAGTCTATTGATCCGATTCTCCACGGATGATAAGCCCATTAAGCACCAATTTGTGCCAATATATTTTTGGATGGCATTTTTGTAATTTTTTGGGCGACAAAAGAACATTTTCTTCGGATATTGAAGGCTACTTATCACGGATTCGGCCTGAGGCTATTCTTCAATGATGATTAAGTACATTAAGAAACGATATGGACGGATTGATTCGGGTCAATTTTTGGCAGATTCCAAAGGGGCACCATCACAGATTTTAGGCGATTTTTCCGAAATGCCATTTTCTTTCGATTTTGGAGGCTAAAGATCATGGAATAATGCCGATGCTATTCTCCACCGATATTGAAGTCTATTAATCCAATTCTCCATCGATGATAAGCCCATTAAGCATCGATTTGGGCCAATTTATTTTCGGATAGCATTTTCGTAATTTTTTTGGGAGACGAAATGCCATTTTCTTTGGATATTGAAGGCTACAGATCACGGATTCGGGCTGAGACTATTCTTCAACGTTTATAAAGTCCACTAAGCACCGATTTTGGCAGATTTATTCCAGGTAAATTTTTGGCAGATTTCAAAGGGGTACATCACAAATTTTGGCCAATTTTTTTGAAATGCCATTTTCTTTCGATTCTAGAGGCTAAAGATCACGGAATCAGGCTGAGGCTATTCTCCACCGATAATGAAGTCTATTGATCCTATTTTCCACGGATGATAAGCCAATTAAGCACCGATTTGGGCTTATTTATTTTCGGTTGACATTTTCGTAATTTTTTGGGCGGCGAAAGGCCATTTTCTTTGGATATTGAAGGCTACAAATCACGTATTCGGCCAGAGGCTATTTTTCAACGATGATTATGTCCATTAAGCACCGATTTGGAGAGATTTATTCCGGGTCGATTTTTGGTAGATTTCACAGGGGTATCATCACAGATTTCGGGCGATTTTTCCGAAATGTCATTTTCTTTCGATTCTGGAGGCTAAAGATCAAATCAGGCTGATTTTATTCTCCACCGATAATGAAGTATATTGATCCTGTTCTCCACGGAAGATAAACAAATCAAATATCGATTTGGGCCAATTTATTTTCGGATGGCATTTTCGTAATTTTTTGGGCGACGAAAGGCCTTTTTCTTTGGATATTGAAGGCGACAGATCACGGATTCGCCCTGCGACTATTCTTCAACGATGATTAAGTCCATTAAGCACCGATTTCGGCGGATTTATTCTAGGTGTATTTTGACAGATTCCATTGGTATACCATCACAGATTTCGGGCGATTTTTTTGAAATGTCATTTTCTTTTGATTTTGGAGGCTAAAGATCACGGAATCATGCCAAGGCTATTCTCCTCCGATAATGAAGTCTATTGATCCTATTCTCCATGGATGATAAGCCAATTAAGCACCGATTTGGTACAATTTATTTTCGGATGGCATATTCGTAATTATTTGGCGAAGAAAGGCCATTTTCTTTTGATATTGAAGACTACAGATCACGAATTCGGCCTGAGGCCATTCTTCAGCGATGACTAAGTCCATTAAGCATCTATTTTTGAAGATTTATTCCGGTAAATTTTTGGTTGGTTCCAAAGGGGTACCGTCACAGATTTCGGGCGATTTTTCCGAAATGCCATTTTCTTTCGATTCTGGAAGCTAAAGATCACGAAATCAGGTCGAGGCTATTCTCCACCGATAATGAAGTCTATTGATTCTATTCTCCACGGATGATAAGCCTATTAAGCACCGTTTTGGGCCAATTTATTTTTGGATGGCATTTCCGTAATATTTTGTATGATGAAAGGCCATTTTCATTGGATATTGAAGGCTTCAGATCACTGATTCGATCTGAGGCTATTCTTCAACGATGATTAAGTCCATTAAGCACCTATTTGGGCGAATTTATGCCGGGTCAATTTTTGGCAGATTCCAAAGGGGTACCATCACTGATTTCAGGAGATTTTTCCGAAATGCCATATTCTTTCGATTCTGGAGGCTAAAGATCACGAAATTAGCCGAGGCTATTCTCCACCGATAATGAAGTCTATTGATCCTATTCTCCATGGATGATAAGCAATTTAAGCAGCGATTTGGGGCAACTTAATTTCGGATGAAATTTTCGTAATTTTTTGGGCGATGAAAGACCATTTTCTTTGGATATTGGAGGCTACAGATCACGGATTCGGCCTAAGGCTATTCTTCAACGATGATTAAGTCCATTAAGCACCGATTTGGGCGGCTTTATTCCTGGACAAATTTTGGTAGATTCCAAAGGGGTACAATCCTTGATTTCGTGCAATTTTTCCGAAATGCCATTTTCTTTTGATTCTGGAGGCTAAATATCATGGAATCAGGCTGAGGCTTTTCTCCACCAATAATGAAGTTTATTGATCCTATTATCCATGGATCATAAGCCCAATAAGCACTAACTTGGCCCAATTTATTTTTGGACGACATTTTTCTTAATTTTTTTGGTCGATGAAAGGCCATTTTCTTTGGATACTGGAGGCTACAGATCACGGATTCGGCCTGAGACTATTCTACAACGATGATTAAGTCCATTAAGCACCGATTTGGGCGGATTTATTCCGGGTCAATTTTTGGTACCATCACAGATTTTCGTCGATTTTTTCGAAATGCCATTTTCTTTCTATTATGGAGGCTAAAGATCACGTAATCAGGCCGAATCTATTCTCCACTGATAATGAAGTCTAAGTATCCTATTCTCCATGGATGATAAGCCCATTTAGCAACGATTTGGGCCAATTTATTTTCGGATGACATTTTTGTAATTTTTTTGGGCGACGAAAAGTCATTTTGTTTGGATATTGAAGGCTACAGATCATGAATTCGGCCTCAGGCCTCAGGCCGAGTCCGTAATCTGTAGCCTTCAATATCCAAAGTAAATGGCCTTTCGTCGCCCAAAAATTTACGAAATGCCATCCGAAAATAAATTGGCTCAAATCGGTGCTTAATTTGCTCATCATTCATAGAGAATAGGATCAATAGACTTCATTATCGGAGGAGAATAGCCTCGGCCTGATTACGTGATCTTTAGCCTCCATAATAGAAAGAAAATGGCATTTCGAAAAAATCGACGGAAATCTGTGATGGTACACCTTTGGAAGCTGCCAAAAATTGACCCGTAATAAATTCGCCCAAATCGGTGCTTAATGGACTTAATCATCGTTGTAGAATAGTCTCAGGCCGAATCCGTGATCTGTAGCCTCCAGTATCCAAAGAAAATGGCCTTTCATCGACCAAAAAATAAGAAAAATGTCGTCCAAAAATAAATTGGGCCAAGTTAGTGCTTATTGGGCTTATGATCCATGGATAATAGGATCAATAAACTTCATTATTGGTGGAGAAAAGCCTCAGCCTGATTCCATGATATTTAGCCTCTAGAATCAAAAGAAAATGGCATTTCGGAAAAATTGCACGAAATCAAGGATGGTACCCCTTTGGAATCTGCCAAAAATTGACCCAGAATAAATCCGCTCAAATCGGTGCTTAATGGATTTAATAATCTTTGAAGAATAGCCTCAGGCCGAATCCGTGATCTGTAGCCTTCAATATCCAAAGAAAATATCCTTTCATCGGCAAAAAAATTACGAAAATGCCATCCGAAAATAAATTGGCCCAAATCGGTGCTTAATGGGCTTATCATCCTTGGAGAATGGGAACAATAGAAATCATTATCGGTGGAGAATAGCCTCGGCCTGATTCCGTGATCTGTAGCCTCCAAAATCGAAAGAAAATGGCATTTCGAAAAAATCGCCGAAATCTGTGATGGTACCCCTTTGGAATCAGCCAAAAATTGACCTGGAATAAATATGCCCAAATCGGTGCTTAATGGACTTAATCATCGTTGCAGAATAGCCTAAGTCGAATGTGATCTATAGCTTTCAATATTCAAAGAAAATGACTTTTCGTCGCCCAAAAAATTACAAAAATGACATCCGAAATTTTTTTGGCCTAAATCGGTGCTTACTGGGCTTATCATCCCTGGAGTATAAGATGATTGGACTTCATTATCTGTGGAGAGTAGCCTTGCCCTGATTCCGTGATCTATAGCCTCAAGAATCAAAAGAAAATGGCATTTCTGAAAAATCGTTGTCAATCTGTAATGGTACCCCTTTGGAATATGCCAAAAATTGACCCGGAATAAATCCGCCCAAATCAGTGCTTAATGGACTTAATCATCGTTGAAGAATACCCTCAGACCGAGTCCGTGATCTGTAGCCTTCAATATCCAAAGAAAATGGCCTTTTGTCGCCCAAAAATTTATGAAATGCGATCCGAAAATAAATTGGCTCAAATAGGTCCTTAATTTGCTTATCATTCGTGGAGAATAGGATCAATAGAGTTCATTATCGGAGGAGAATAGTCTCGGCCTAATTTCGTGATGTGTAGCCTCCATAATGGAAAGAAAATGGCATTACGGAAAAATCGCCGAAATCTGTGATGGTAGCCCTTTGGAATCTGCCAAAAATTGACCCGGAATAAATCCGCCCAAATCGGTGCTTAATGGACTTAATCATCGTTGAAGAATAGCCTCAGCCCGAATCCGTGATCTGTAGCCTTTAATATCCAAAGAAAATGGCATTTCGTCGCCCAAAAAATTACGAAAATATCACCAGAAGATAAATTGGCCCAAATCGGTGCTTAATGGGCTTATCATCCCTGGAGAATAGGATCAATAGACTTCATTATCGGTGTAGAATATCCTCGGCCTGATTCCGTGATCCGTAGACTCCAGAATCGTAAGAAAATAGCATTTTGGAAAAATCGCCAAAATCTATGATGATACCCCTTTGAAATCTGCCAAAAATTGACCCAGAATAAATCCGCTCAAATCGGTGCTTAATGGATTTAATCATCTTTAAAGAATAGCCTCAGGCCTAATCCGTGATCTGTAGCCTTCAATATCCAAAGAAAATGGTCATCATCGCCCAAAAAATTACGAAAATGTCATCCGAAAATAAATTGGTCCAAATCGGTGCTTAATTGGCTTATCATCCCTGGAGAATGGGAACAATAGACATCATTATCGGTGGAGAATAGCCTCGGCCTGATTACGTGATCTGTAGCCTTCAGAATCGAAAGAAAATGGCATTTCGGAAAAATCGCCCAAATCTGTGATGGTACCCCTTTGGATTCTGCCAGAAATAGACCCGGAATAAATCCACCCAAATCGGTACTTAATGGACTTAATCATCGTTGAAGAATAGCCTCAGGCCGAATCCGTGATTTTTAGCCTTTAATATCCAAAGAAAATGACATTTCAACGCCCAAAAAACTACAAAAATTCCATCCGAAAATAAATTGGCCCAAATCGGTGCTTAATGGGTTTATCATCCCTGGAAAATAGGATGAGTAGACTTCATTATAGGTGGAGAATAGCCTCTACCTGATTCCGTGATCTGTGATGGTACCCCTTTGGAATCTGCCAAAAATTGACCCGGAATAAATCCGCCAAAATTGGTGCTTAATGAACTTAATTATCGTTGACGAATAGCCTCAAGCCGAATCCGTGATCGGTAGCATTCAACATCCAAAGAAAATGGCCTTTCAACGCCCAAAAAATTACGAAAATGTCATCCGAAAATAATTTTGCCCAAATCGGTGCTTAATGGGCTTATCATCCCTGGAAAATAGGATGAATAGACTTCATTATGGGTGGAGAATAGCCTCGGTCTGATTTCGTGATCTGTAGCCTCCAGAATAGAAAGAAATGGCATTTCGGAAAAATAGCCGAAATCAATGATGGTACCCCCTTTGGATTCTGCCAAAAATTGACCTGTAATAAATCCGTCCAAATCGGTGCTTAATGGACTTAATCATCGTTGTAGATAGCCTTAGGCCAAATCGGTGACCTGTAGCATTCAATATCCTAAGAAAATAGCTTTTCGTCGCCCAAAAAATTACGAAAATGCCATTCGAAATAAATTGGCACAAATCGGTGCTTAATGGGCTTATCTTCCCTGGAGAATAGGATCAATAGACTTCAATAAAGGTGGAGAATAGCCTCGGCCTGATTCCATGATCTGTAGCGTCCAGATTCTAAAGAAAATGGCATTTCGGAAAAATCGTCGAAATTTGTACCCCTTTGGAATCTGCCAAAAATTGACGGAGAATAAGTCCAACCAAATCGGTACTTAATGGACTTAATCAACGTTGAAGAATAGCCTCAGGCCGAATCGGTGATCTGTAGCCTTCAATATACTAAGAAAATAGATTTTCGTCGCCCAAAAAATTACGAAAATGCCATCCGAAAATAAATTGGCCCAAATCGGTGCTTAATGGGCTTATCATCGCTGGAGAATAGTATCAATAGACTTCATTATCGGTGAAGAATATCCTCGGCCTGATTCCTTGATCCGTAGACTCCAGAATCGAAAGAAAATAGCGTTTCGGAAAAATCGCCGAAATCTGTGATGGTACCCCCTTTGGAATCTGCCAAAAATTGACCCAGAATAAATCCGCTCAAATCGGTGCTTAATGGATTTAATCATCTTTGAAGAATAGCCTCAGGCCGAATCCGTGATCTGTAGCCTTCAATATCCAAAGAAAATGGCCTTTCATCGCCAAAAAAATTACGAAAATCCCATCCAAAAATAAATTGGCCCAAATCGGTGCTTAATGGGCTTATCATCCTTGGAGAATGGGAACAATAGAAATCATTATCGGTGGAGAATAGCCTCGGCCTGATTCCGTGATCTGTAGCCTCCAGAATCGAAAGAAAATGGCATTTCGAAAAAATCGCCGAATCTGTGATGGTACCCCTTTGGAATCTGCCAAAAATTGACCCGGAATAAATCCGCCCAAATCGATGATTAATGGACTTAATCATCGTTGAAGAATAGCCTCAGGCCGAATCGGTGATCTGTAGCCTTCAATATCCTAAGAAAATAGCTTTTCAACGCCCAAAAAATTACGAAAATGCCATCCAAAAATAAATTGGCCTAAATCGATCGTTAACGGGCTTATCATCACTAGAGAATAGGATCAATAGACTTCATTATCGGTGGAGAATAGCCTCGGCCTGATTCCGTG